ATCGCAATCTGTCATTTCATCGATGTGCAAAAGCTTTGTTTCGCGTTTTGGGGGAACCAGCCTTAGGGTAGTTCGGTAAACGAGGTCGGCATGCGTCGACGTCCGAGTGTCCGGGTTATTTGGTGTCGGGTCTAGGACGCTGTTTGTAAACAGACATTTTCGCGAAGGGATCATTTGGCCGGCATCTCCTCTCAAAGGCATGTACGTGTCGTATTGTTATCGCTCATTGTCATTGTGCCGCATTAACGATTTCGTCTGCCTAATTAAGGCTTCTTCCGCTTTCGGTATACTATCGCTTCAAGCACCGTGGTGTCTTGTTCATGTGTGCCTGATATTCATCCTGATGGTCATAGATCCTGGAGTAACAAGTTTGGAAATCTAGGCGTATAGCTTTCTGATGACGCAGTATCGTATTTGTGCGACGGTGAGCGATCTCCATTGTTTCCGTGGTACCGAACGTTGACACGGTAGGCACGGTGACACATACCTAAGTGGTTGATCACTGATCATCTTTGTTCGAGAAGCATAAGTTCCATGGTAGATAGGCTTTGGAACATTGTAATGCCCCATGTTTCTCAACCCGTAAAGACACACTAGGCATGTATGTGCTCAAAAGATTGGAGACATCATGATGACAATTACACACCCATCTTGTCGTCTCTTTTTTACTGTAGTAGCACCCGCAACGATATTGATTGCATCACATAGGCTTGCCGTCTCAGACTCAATCTGAGAAAGACTTGCGTCCCCGAACTACGCACCAACAATAGCCAATCCAAATTAGAACGCCAGCATTCAAGTCTAGGGCAGATGCTTCGCTGCGGCAACAATGTTGTGGGGGCCCGAAGGTACCTTGCGTGCGTACACGTATCCATAGTCATACAATTTCATCACTTGCATTCTATCTCGCATATGCTAACGCAAGAAATGAATACTAGGCGAAAGACTCAGGAAAACAGCCTCAACATCTGGGATAAATTGAGAGACCACCCCTGTAGTCTCACAACCATCCCCTCCGGTGCAGAGGCGCAAAGTCTGGTTCAAAAGCCTGGGCCGAGATTCCGAACACTTGGCGTTCGGAAACCAACGCATATGACTATTTGGTTCGTGATTTGGATGCTGAGCGGTGTGATCATCTGTGCGTTGCAGTGGTTAGCTACTAGGTGATGCAGTGACCACCGCGGACCCATGCGACGGTGCAGCGGGTATGAAGAGCAGACAGCCAGAAGATGCGGGATTAATCGAGCCTAGAACAAGGGAATGGAGCTTTTGTTGTGAAACACACAAAGTACGCCGTGGCGGGCGATGTAACGGAGTAAGTTGGGGTAGTTACACCGTTGTGGCGCTTCTAGCGGAAGTCACCTTAACTAACGCGCCTGGAGATTGATGAGAGTCATGCTAGATCTATGGGGTAAGTCCACTATGCTGTTGATCATCATCACGATACCAGATGCCACTCCGGTGTTGTCGTCTACTTGGCATTTCGGTAGAATAGAAAGCGAACCAGTCTTCCAAAAGTCGCAAAAGACTTAGCAGCATTTCCAAGACTTCTCAAACAAGACGCTTAGGACGATACAGGATGACTTGAGCACTTTTTGACGCCTCCACGGATGTACATGCATACTCAGCCACCACCGTGACGTCCAAGCCGGAAACGACATGCCCACCATCATAAGGGAGCAATAAGCAAGCCTTAGCCCAAACAAGCGATACAAAAATCTCTCATTCCGTCTTGACCTTCCTTCGCAGTCTTGGTACCCGCACTAACCGCGGCTGTGGCTCATCTATATAGTGGAAAGCCAAGCAATCCGCTCGTCTTGTCGCGGCACCTTCTGTGGTGCGCGGGGGGCCAGGGCTCCTATGGTGCGTAGATTAGATAGCGTCGGTGGGAGATTTGTATCCGGTGGACGTTGTCTGTGCATGAGTGGGTAGCACCAAAGTGACTGGTGCGTGTAAGAGGTTGGTGTCTGATATGTGCCGCTTGGATACATGATGTCGATGTACATCGTTCCAAGTAGCGCTGCAAGCTTGGCAGCATTGCGCAATGTCGATCTTTATAGTGAGAACAGATTTACAGTCTAGATCCGATTCGCATTTGGGCTCGACCTCTGTCATGTGACTAGAAAACGTCTGGGTGCCACATGTGCAGTAAGATACTTAGACCACTGCTTGGCTATGCGAACTTTGTGGACTCAGCAAGTGTCCCGACCAAGGTTTCAATTTGTTTGTATATGTGCCACATTCGGCTGCATAAGCGGACGGTGACAACCATCCAGGGGCATGCATTAAAAACAAAGACAGATTGATGATAGGAACCCACCACTAGAAGACGTCGAGGTGATTGTAGAATGAAACAGGATACACGATTGGTGACAGAACGCTAGACGTGCCCAGAACTCCTACCATGCAAGTGTAAGTACGACCTGCCCCCACTGACGTGTGGATATCTGAACTCGCTGATAAGGGACTTCGCCAGACTCCGCGCAACCACTAAATAACGATCACAAGACGCCTGTCGCTCAACATAGCTTCAGAACATTCCGACGTGTTATTGCGCCACCTTTGACATACTTGGCGTTTGCACGCCAGGTTGTGCAGTGTGACCTGCGATCTCCAAGACGCTCGTCGAGCTCTCGCTACTACCTTGCACAGTCATGCCCAGCGCTCGTCGTGCGTACTCTTTCTGACCGTTCGCCACATGGTCTACCGGTGAGTTTGTGGTACCATTGCCATTGGTCGAGCCGTGTTCCGCGGTGGCAGCGGGAGGCTGTAACCATTGCACACTAGTACATCGGTTCACAAGTCGTACGGTGGTCTCGTCAACGGGAGCAAAATGATTACCGCTTGAGACGAGGAGGTGAAGGAGCCGCAATAGTTCTTCACGCTTATAATGTGGTGGCTTGCTGATTTGGCTGTGCATGAGTATCGGGTATAGAACGCGGAGGTAGGTATGTCGTAATGCGTTTGCAGCAGCCGAATCATGTGGTAGATCTATAAGATTTCGAAGGATGACGTCGACCAGGACATGAAGATCGTTGGTGTAAAAGTATTCGGCCGTGGAAGGATTACCGAAGAGAAGGTAAAGCACTTTGAGGATTAGAAGCTGAAGGGAGGTCTCCGACTCGCGGTTCAGAAGAAGAATCAAGTTGCATCCGAAAGTTTTGTAGGTCATTCCGTGAGTCGAGATAGCTTTGATGACCCGATTCGTTATTCCAGGTCGTCCATCGCTATGACGGCTAGTTGACGCTACAAGGTACTGTTCGTTCAAAACCAACTGTTCTGGTGTCAGCTCAAGACTTGGTAGGGGGTGCGAGTAGACAGACCAGAACGCGTATCACAGGATAGTGGTATGGATCGTCAGCATCGTCGGAAGCACCTTCTATGATCTCCAGCAGGTAGATAATGAAGGCGTCATTCACCGCAGCTACACAACAAGCGTTAGCAATGGCTTCGAGGAAAGATGGGAAATGGTGTCGTTGCCATACAAAAGTCGTCCCACGTCAATCGCTGAACCCGTGAAGATTCGTAGAGCAGTTGTAGAAGTAGTTGATGCAGAGTGGTCTCCTCTTGCACGCTCGGCGTTTGCACCAACTCAACAAGTCTAGCAAATGTGCCCTCCGAGTGCATCATCTCAAATATATCATCGTCTTTGCTATTGCGACCATCGTAGAGGAGGAAGGCGGCCACTATGTGAAGAGTAGGGTTATCATCTTCCTATCGCATTGGTCAGCCTCAGGCTCAGCCAGCGACCATGCGCTCCAGACATGCACCAACATACCTGCAAGAGGCAATATATTATCTGCCGCCGTACATATGCCTTGTTTGAGGCAAAGAGGTCGCCCTCGAGCATGCGAAAGATGCATTTTGCGACGCTGAAGTCGGTTTGGAGGTATTCGGCTATTGGTGGTGGTCAACGTTGGTCATGGCAGAGGTTGGAGACGCGTACATCTATAATTCGTAGTGACATTAAGGAAGGATCGCAGCGAGTTGTCGATTATCTCGTGCTGGTGACAGCGCGTCGAGACGATATCGTCGAGTTCTGTGTAGCGTGTTAGTCGAGGCTGTTGGTGGGGTTGCCAGGCGCTCTCACCATCCCAGAACTGTTGCTCATTCTCGAGATCATACGACACCTCAAATGCCATGTCGTAGTCGCGGGTCTCTGACAACAATCATCCTCTCCAGCGATCAAGGCTGCCGAGGGCGGTGCAGAGAGGCGCAAACTGTTCGTTGTCGGAGCGTTGATGCGAACAACTGACCATCAAGACGCCGGAGATTCACCGGCGTTAGTTAGTGCGTCACCGATACTGCTTGGGGTATAGGGTAGTCTATTGTTACCACACGTTGGCAGTTGCATTCCAACATGCGAATGCCCTCACGTACCTGTCACTCTAGCTTCATCGCCAGTTTCTTCTTCTTTCCTCCTCTGTCTAATCTTTGCAAATGAACGTGTGCCCTAGTGACCCACCGATAACCACGGAAACGTAGTGACACGTCAGACATTCCGACCAACACTCCAATGCCATCACAATCATCCTCTCCACCAAAGCGCAGTTTTCATGTCAAGCGCGAGAGCCTAGGCGGTGATCTGCGAGTACATTTTGAGCGCATCAACGTGGTCATATGAGCTTGGAAGCGTGTGCTTCTTGTTAGCGACGGCATGTCAAATCCACGCCCTTCATGCCCCTTACCCCTCTGCATGTCACCACGCCCTTTCCACAGTTTTCAACAGCTTTCTCAAAGATGCCTCTTCGGGCAACATTCGTCAACCGGAAATAGGTATTAGAAATCGTATTGATGGACATGGCTCAATGTTTCCATATAGATGTGTCAACGCAACTAGCTTCCAGCGCCCCCAATGCAATGCTGCACGGACGCAAGTCCTCCACTTGACGTCTAATAATACAGTATGTAATCCACCTCGGTACACATCTGTCTTGTCCAACTATTCAGATCTCTGTCGTATATACATCGTTTCGTAGCATGTCTCCCGTCGTTTGCACTTATTCTTCACCAACTACCTCTTGTTCCCGACAGACGACACAGCCCCGGCCCACTGCACTCTTGATAACATGTGCATGCGCTACCTTTGCGCCCACACTTCTTGTCCACCTTCCGCCGCTTTCTTGGGCATCAGTGGCAAGTTGTTGTTGTAGGCCAGCTGCGACACTCGCGCTAGCACTCGTTTTGGGTAGTAGACAAGTGAGATGGAAGACGTGGCCACATGCAAACCCCACAAGCGTGTCGCGAGACAGAGGCATAGGCCCACCTTCGACGGTGGCGGCCTCTTCTTCGGCAGTGGGGAGCGTAAAGGGACGGTGGCATCCCACACAGTGGCCAGGAGGGGCTTCGCCCTGAGGCGCTTCGGCAGGAGCGGGATCGAGGTTCGGTGCCGTAGTTGTTGAGGATACAGCTGTAGGTTTCTTGTCAGCTTTAGCTGTAGCTTTTGCTGCGGTTGCCGGATCGACGCCTTTGGGCTCAATGTCGATTTGCCCTTTTGCGTGGCGATGGTTCTCGTGACCTTCGCCGTCACATGGTATGACTTCAAACTTGACACCCCGTTTTTGGCCAGCACGTAGCGTGTCCATACCGGCCGCTACTTCGCCCCGAAGGACTCTCGCAACTCCTTCTGAGATGGAGTGTTGGATTTCGTACTCGCGCACCATGCGGCCTATGCCGTCCCTTAGCCCTTCGATTTCGAGGCCTTCGGGAATACGGCGGACGAGTTTGATGGGGTCTATTGCTGTGCCGACTTCTTCAAGCAGACCGCGAATGAAGTGAGGTTTGTCCATGGAATAATTCAAGAGATCGTTCCAGAGTTCAGGATCATCTTGCTCCTTGGCAAAAGAGATGGCGAAGCTGACGTCCGAGAGTTTCTCAATGATCAAATACAAAGCGCGCTTAGTTTGACCAGTCTTGGAGAGGATGTGTCTGCAGTGGGTTAGCAAATTAGGTACAACTGGTACAGCAGGAACAGTCTCGACTTACACAAGCTCTGGAATGTACTCTCTCCTCTCACACTCGGCGGTGGCTTTGCTCAGATCATAACTTTGAGATTTGCGCAAATACTCCATCAATAGCGGTCGATCGTACTCCGCGAACAACTCCACCATGAGATCCGCAAACTCTTCTGCAACGATCTTGCCGTCAGCCGCCAGGCGGTCTTCAGCAACCCGTTCTTTAGCCGTCTTCGCTGTTCGTTCATGCATGTCCGGCTTCCAGAGCTTCCGTAGATAGAAGTGCAGGAATGGTCTGAACGCTGGGCCTTTCGCCTGTAATTGGCTCTCAACGTCACTCGCAGGAATGGTACCACGGCAGCCTTCCTCTACGAGAACACTAATGGCTTCTGCCGAGGCTTCTTCCAATTCCTCCAGCTTCGCTGCAGCTGACTTCATCTGCTCTTTCGAAACACCCATCATGATGAAGCCAGGAATGTCGTCTCGTACAGCTTCTACTAGGTGGAAATCCCGTATGAGAGTCATAGCCGCATCTGCATTTTGCAACCGGATGTAGCAGCGTAGTGCTTCTCTTTGTCTGCCACTGGCAAGGAATAATTTCGCAAGGCCATCTTGCAGTATCCGCCAGTCTCGACCTTGTATATCGCCCTCGATAGATTCCTCTGTGACATCGCCAGCAGAAAGCTTGCTTTTGATAGCCTCAACGACACTATTTATATCGAATAGGTCTGGATCCCAATCCTCAAGCAGGTGCTTGAAGCGTATGCGATCATGTATGATGTAGTGACCAAGAATCACCTCATATACCATCGAAGGCAATGGAGGTTGCATGGGTTTCTTAGGGACGTAGGGCGAGATCTCGTTGAAGTGGTTTGTCTGTGCAAACTTCCACACCCAATGTTCCCATCTTGTGGAAGTGCCGAGTACGCGACCAGCGACCTTGCCTGCTTGCTTCCAGTCACCAGAACCAACAAGCTGTTGTACCCATAGATCCCCAATACGACGCTTCTCTTTTTCTACTGTCGAGTTTTGATTCGCTCTTGTGGCAGATAGGGTCGTCTGGGATGCGCTGTCGTCCGCGAAGAACTCGTGCAAGCTTCCCTGTTGCTTTGTTGGCGTACTGGGATCGGAGCTATCTGAGACTGACTGGGAGACAGACGCGATGATCTCGGGGTGGTCCTCCAAAAGCTCCCAGGCATCCTTGTAGTTTTCGTGCTCGAGTTCCCACTGGAAGTGATCTGATAGTTCTCGCTTAATGGCCAATACGCAGTCGTATGGACTCTGTATGAAGACTTTCAAGCCTGCTGTTGCAGCGTTCGGATGTACTTGTTGCTGACGCTTGCCAGATATTGAACCAGCGGCATTTCCGGCGCTTGCTGAAGACATGGACGGCGCCCTCGAGGGCGGCTTATCAGAACCAATGGGAAGGTTCATTACACTTGCTCCAGAGCTGAATATGCGTGCGGTGGCAGCACCTACATCCCATATTCCACCCCCGATGGCTTCCAGTGCGCTCCTCTGGGCCGGAGTCATCGTCTTTGGATGTGGTACATACAGGGTTCCCAGATGGTAGTCGGCAGCCGAGAGGCTTTCAAATCGGCTGACGGTCAGAGAATCCACTTCGACTTCATCCGAAGTTGCAGCATCGATGAGTTTGAGCTCCGGAGAAAGACCGTTTGTGCGACGGTGCCTTCCCCCCCTGGGAGTCGTGTCGGGCCCAGAGACTGGATTGTCATCATCGTCGCGTGTCCGGTATGCAAGAACAAGAAGCAAAGAAGGGGTATAGAGCGAAATGCCAGAAACAATACAGTCGTCGAAACGAAGGAAATGAACCACCTCGGCGCTTCCTACCGATCTCTCACCAACATCGCGACCAACGCCAGGTCCACCAGGCTGTACGTGAACGACCCATGCGGCATCGCCCCATCCAATGATGAGCTTTTCAAACTTGTTCTGCTTCTTCGGGTCCTTGGATGCCTGGGGCGAGCGGTTGTGCGGTAATGTGCCTTCGGTTTTATCCGCAAGGTGGTGGCCATTCATGCTCATTATAGCATCATCGTCAGACTCGAGTGATCTGTCATCAACCCACTCAATCCGTGCTTTCCATACGCCGGCCATCTCCTGCCATATGCGACGATTCGGCTTTTCGATGAAGCCAATTCTCTTCCAAGCGTTATCGGAGTCGGCACTGTCGAGGTGGAGATCGGTGCGCATGATGCGAATGCCATGTTCATTGGACCAAGCTACAAACTTCCCAGAGAGGGACCATTTGATGGCAGTTATGGTGCCTTCTCCGGAATGCAGAATGGTATCCTTTCCACTGTGTCCACCGAGACCTATCGCTCCAAGCCATCCTTGAGCTGTTTGTGACGCTGAGCTGGTGTTGGCGTTGGAACGTACACCGGTCGGCCCTCCTACAGTGTGAATGAGCTCGCCAGCTAGTCCTCCAGATAGGTAAGAGCGATCGTTCTTGTAATCCGGCGAAAGCGCAACCGCTTGCACAGGGCGTCCGAAGTTTCGTAGCGTGACGTCTTTGGGATCGATCAGAGACGATACACATACGTGCCCGTCAATGGAAGAAGAGGCTATGTATATCTGGTTCGAGGGCGTCGACGGCACCTGGGCTTGGCGTGGTGTGCGAGGAGAGGCTGCATTGCCTGCTGGCGAGTCTGTTCGTCTGGAAGATGCATTTGTCTGGTCTGCTGACCGGAGATCGGAGGCGGTGGGCACGAAGGGCTGCGAAGCCAACAGAGGCGATACCGATAGGGCTGTCACTGAGGCAGCAGGATGCGCGTTGTAGGTGCGGAGGATTTGGAAAGAAGGGATGCTCAACGCATGGATATTGCCATTGTGGGTGCCTACAATCTACGTACAGTCTTAGCATTCGGTCGACAGCTTGCAGGGCTCATGCACATGAAGCATGGAGCTATGACCGTACCATCTTGTCCCCAGCGACCATGAAGGTAGCTGTCGCGTCGCCATTCCGGTATACGGGCCCCAGATCTCTTGTCAGTCGGCTGTACTTGAGCTTCGGCTCTTCGTCGACATCGTCGTCGTCGTCCGAGTCGTGCTCGACACTCTCTTTCCCTTCGCTCGCTACCTTGTCGACGTGTTTAGGGTCGCGCGCAGGCGTATGCGGCTCGTCTGGGGTATTTTCCGCAGCCATGCTGGCGGCATGAGCTGCGGCGGGCGTGGTAGAGACCTGGGAGAGCTCCGGCGCGTGGAGGTGTGTGAGTGTTGGAGGTGTCGATGCCCTGTCGATCTAGGCCTATGATGCTGGCCAAGCCATTCCCGCGGACTTGCAAGGGTCTAGCTCTCCGCGAATGCTCCACCACTCTCAAGATTCATCGCCTCCGCTGATTGCTCGCTGCTGGAAACTATGTCCGAGACAGATTTGCGCTGGCCATGACGGCTTACCAACGCTACGTGTCTAATACCTTGACACGCTGTCTTGCCGCGCGCCTTCCGCTAAACACTCTACCGTTGTTGCGCACCCCCGCAGGCCGACTATTCTCGACAACTAGCAAATATGCGAAAAAGGTCGACTTCGGTCAAAAGCAGGAGGACCTAGTCTCGAAAGAAGAGGCGGTAAAGGAGACGCAGCAAAATGCGAATCGCAAGGGCGCCCGGAAGAATGCTGGCAAGACGTCGTTGCGGAGTATTGCGGTTGAGGCACAGAGATCGCGGGCTTTCGTAAAGTCAAGAGGAAGAACACGCTTCATAGATCCAGACGCTGAAACTAAAACGGTGACTGCATACTGTGCGGCTGAAACCTACGACATTACCGCCGCCGCTCGGCTTGTCAAAGCCCAGGGCTATGAGCTCGATCCCTTCCAGACCGGCTTATACCCGCAAGTCATACATATTCAGACTTCCGAACGACCGTCAGAGGTCAAGGATTTCCAACAAGGCGACATATTCATCTTTCCCTCTGGCACAGTAGTGGCATGGAATGTCCGGGAAAGAGAAGCACTAAAGCTGGTCAACCAAGTGCTACCAGCAGCAGCTGAAGGCTCACATCTCGAATTGCTCGAAACCGAAGACCTGGATTACCTCGAAGACCCCAGCAAGGAAACTAGTGAAGTAGTCGGCGACACCATCGTCCTCGGCACAAAAGCAGAGCCAGTATCTGACAACCCATCGTCATCTCAACCCGATGAGTCTGCCAATCCCACCGACCAGCGACACGAAGTAGACACTGTCTTGGCAAAAATAGCTTTCTCCTCTGGTCTCGCCCGTAGCACCAAGCTCGCCGTTCTAGAAACTCTGCTGTCAGCCTACCAAAACTCAACCCGCGATATCCCCGCCATGCTTGCCTCTTCCAAAACCATCTCTCATCGCCGCAGCGCCCCTTTTACACGCTCCTTCATCCTACGCAAAACTGGCGAACTGCTGTCTCTCCGTGCTCAGCTAAACCTTTACTCGGAGCTTACCGACAGCATGCCCGACATCTTCTGGGATTCGCGACACGAGCTGGGCTTGGGCGAGTACTACGATCAAGTTGGACGCGCCCTGGATGTTGGGGTACGAATCAAAGTGCTCAATGAGAAGATTGGTTTTGCTCAGGAAATTGCTAGTGTGTTGAGAGAGCAGTTGAGTGAGAAACACGGGTTGAGACTCGAATGGGCGATTATCGCACTCATTGCTGTAGAAGTAGTGCTTGAGTTCTATCGGCATTGGGACGAGCGCAGGGGTAAGGACGACCCGGAGAGTACTGAAGCGTTACTGAGGAGTCATTTGGAAAGGTTAGCGGAAACGAAGCTTTGAAGAGAAGACCGAGAGTGTCTTATGATAGCATTTTAGCGCAACGATACCCCACTCTAAATTTACGAATACCTTGAACACGTCAGAAGCAAAAGGTACAAAGGAAAAATCTCGATTCTACAGACCATGTCAGCCCAGCATAGGGGCACAGATATTTACAAAATTTTCCATAATCTTAGCCATGCTTGAACCCGTCTACTGATCGTCAAGAACGTGCAGATACTTCTTCTCTTCCCTCTTCTCCTTCTCGCTCATGGGTGGTAAATCATAGTAACTTGAGCTTCGGTAACCCTTGAGGTACTCAAAGGTCAAGCTCTTCAACTCGACAGGGTCAATGTCCAGGTCCTTGAAAGTCTTTGCATCCTTGTCAATGATCTGGTCAATGAACTCGCGCTCGACCTCATCAGCAGAGTGGATGGGCCACCAGAGAAGCTTGTTGGCATAGTGTGCGACAGGCTTCAGGAGGCGCTTGGGAATGTTGACATGGCGACGCGGCTTCATGGCCTCCTTTTCAACGAGCTCGTTGATCTCGGCCATGGAGTACTCTGTCGGGCCGTAGAGTTCGTAAGTCTCAGCGGCAGTGGTGTCGTCATGCAGCATCTTCTCAAGAGCCATGCCGACATCGATGACATGGACGGGGCGGATGCGCTCTTCCAGGTTGTTCGAGGTGATGATGTTTGAGGGGGAAGCGAGACGGTGGAGAAGACGGTCCTCGAAACCGAACATGGGCGCAGGGCGAACAATGGTGGTCTCTGGGTAGATGGAGCGTGCTACTTGCTCACCCTGAGCCTTGGTGCGGTAGAACTCGGATGGTGAATCCAAGCGTGCGCTGTGAGATGAGACATGAACAAATCTGTCAATGTCGTACTTGGCGACAGCATCCACGATGCGCTCTGTGCCGTGGACGTGTACGTCCTCCAGGTCAAAGTTCTTGGTGGGGTAGTCGCGACCAATGAGGTTGTAGACAATGTCAGAGTGTCGCACGCTCTCTTCGATAGATGCAGTGTTTCGGAGGTCCATCTCGACGAAGATGACTCTGCCCAAGTCTCCGGCGACCTTCAAGTGACGCTTTGCCATTTCCTCGCGGAAGGGGACTACCACTGTACATCCTGAACGGGCTGTTCGTGCTGTTAGCGCAATGCACTTTGGCTTTCCAATGACGTGCACACACCCAATCGGTTCACAATGTATCGTCCTAGGAATCCAGTGGCTCCGAAAACAGTCGCGGTATATCCTGCATGTGTGTGAGTGTTGATCTAGCAGGCGGGTAGGGGTCGCGGCGTACCTCCGAGCGAGGATCGTCCACCGGAGACAGTCAGAATCGGCTTTCCAGTCCTATGCCGTTGTCAGCACTCGTTTTGGCGTCGCAGGGTGCAGTCGGGCGGACCTAGTTATCCTGACGTCCGAGTTGAGTTGTTGTCGGCAGACGGAGGTGGACAGGTTGGCGACACGCTTCAAGGGCATTTGCGCCGACAGCGCCACTGGCGACCGAGCGCAGCGGAGTGGCAGCATAGTTGCGGCGTTCAATGGCTGCTGGTATGTCGAATGGAGCTTCTTGCGAGGCGGCTGCCATGTCTGGACGTCCGTGGTTGATGGCCTTGGCGCTATGCGCTAATCGTAGCTTCCGCCGCAACGCCATGACAGCAACAGAGTCCCGCCCTCCAACAACAGCCCAGCTCCCGTCATTTCACTCCTCCGACCCCGAACTCGACCCCCGTACCCTCTCACCCCATCGAAAAAGCCGCTCGCAGCAACCATGGCCATGGACACAGACACGATTCCGAACCTTCTGGGCGATGCGCGGGACGAGGCACCCGAGGAACTCCAGGAATACTTCATCGCCTTTGAGGACTTTTGGGAGCGAAAGCTATGGCACGAGCTTACCGACAAGCTCATCGAATTCTTCGACCACCCAGAGAGCGCCAAACAGCGGATACCCTTCTTCGAGACCTTCATCAAGAGCTTCGCAAACAAGATCAACCAGCTGAAGCTCGTCACCTTGGGACTCAACACAGCTACACAATACAAGGGTAGGATGGCCCTTTCGTCGTAGACAGAAACATCAGCTGACCCTTACAGACGACAAGGAACGCCTCAACTTTGTCAACGACCTCGCAAAAAGCGTCAACAAGCCCGCTTCACAAGACGCCTACGTATACGCCACAGTCGCCGCCGCCAGCATACAGCTACGGTTAAAGGACGAGGAGGGAGCCAAGAAGAAGCTAGACGAGTGTGAACAGATACTGGATACCTTTGACTCGGTCGAAACCGTTGTGCATGCGTCTTTCTACCGAGCAAGCGCAGAATACTACAAGTCCAAGCACGAGTTCGCTGCATACTACAAGAACGCCCTGCTGTTCCTCGCCTGCGTCAACCTTAACGACCTAGAACTCCGCGAACGCCAGTCGCGCGCCTACGACCTCAGCATCGCCGCCCTCGTCTCAGACTCCATCTACAACTTTGGAGAGTTGCTCCTACATCCCATCCTCGACTCGCTTGTCAACACCCCACATGCATGGCTTCGTGATCTTCTCTTTGCCTTCAATCGCGGCGACCTGATGGCCTACGACGTGCTCTCCAACAACATCACCAAGGTCCCTCTTCTCAAGGAGCACCAGACCTTCCTCTACCAGAAGATCTCGCTATCCGCTCTCACAGAGACCGTCTTCCGCCGCCCACCCCACGATCGCGCCATGACCTTCTCCGAGATCTCGCACGAGACCAAGGTACAACCGAACGAGATTGAGCACCTGATCATGAAGGCGCTGAGCTTGGGACTACTCAAAGGTCAAATCGACCAGGTTGCCGAGATTGCGCGTATCAACTGGGTGCAGCCCAAGGTTCTGGACATGAAGCAGATTGAGGGCATGAGGACAAGGTTGAAGGAGTGGGATGCCAGTGTCAACCAGCTGGGTAACTGGATCGAGGGTGTAGGCAAGGATGTCTGGGCTGCTTGAACGAGCATCATCTCGCAGCAGGTCACTGGTATACGCCTTTTAGAGCACGTCGTCTCCACTTCCAATAAGTGGCATGCATCAGCTATAAGCAAGACGCGCGGTTGAATGTAATCATAGGTAGTGGTCATAGACGGTCAACGAATGAAAAGATTTATGACTCCATTGCACTCGATGACTTGTGTATTATCTATCATGTAGTCCACTTCTATTCCCAGAATCCAGTCGAAACCACCACGGCTCCCGCAAGCCATGCAGGGAACCAAACCAACCAGACAACAACCTGCGTCCACATACCCCAAACATGCCACCCGATCGCGCTCTGAACAAGAACATCCGTTAGGTTGGCTCCTAGCAGCTTCGTTATAGTTTGTATAACCAGAACAGGGTTCAGCATGGCCAGCATCAGTAATTGCACTCCAGTAACCCCACGATTGTTACTCTTGCGTACAAAGCTCAATGGCACGCACAGCACCCCGACCAAGACACTCAAACTAAAGTTCAGCGTTGCTAGGGCCGCAAGGAACATGCCTAACAGTAGCAGGGAGAAACATTGGAGCAGACAAAGGGCTTGCGGTGTCAGCACGTCGGGGGCAGACCACCAAAAGAGAAAGGTTATGATGAGTGGAGCGAGCGTGGTTAGATTGCTGGCTGTGAGGAAAAGGTTGGGGAGGTGGTCGGCGTCCCAGTTGTTGAACAGGTATAGGGGGATCAGGCCGGAAGCATGGGCTGTGAGGACGAGAACGAGGGGAAGGAGGAGATGCCGTTCTGTTATCGTCGTGCTGGCTTTGGGGACAACAGCCAGGGAGCCGTCTTGTTCGACGAGCTCGGTGGCTGGTTGTTCAGATGCAGATTCTTCTTTCTTTTCTGGTTGCTTCATCTTAGAGTCAGTGTCCTTCTTCTTGAGCTCGTCTTTGGTAGTCTCATTCTCGGCTGTCTTGATGTCTGCCGAAGAGGACTTCTCGGTCGACGCCTTTTTAGGTTTTGTGGCAGCGGGATTGCTGACAGGCTCTGTGGTACGTCCGCTCTTCACCCACAATGCCATTGCCGCGATGCTGAAGTTGATGGCGATCAGCATTGCCGAAGGGAGATATGTGCCAATGCTGACGAAGCGCTTATCTTGTAGCAAAAGGTAGAAGAAGAAACTCTGGTGCAGGTGTTCGAGAAGGTTGTTCAAGCTTCGAAAGAGTGATTCGACGGTTTTTCCAAGTGACATTTCGTCATGCCAGCCGTCCCCAACTGTCACCAAGGTAACGGCGTCGACGTGGTATGGAATAAAGGACGAATGAGGCCCAGTTGCGTGGCCAATGCTTTGCGACAGCATACCTCGAAGCATGGTCTGAAGCCGCTCCTTGTAGGAGTCCTTGTGATCCCACATGCGCTGGATCACACAGCCGATGCCCATCTGACCGGAGGCAATCTGCACTGCAGTGTTGAACAGATCCAGGTTGGGAAGTTGGCCGTTTATGCCATCGTATATGACATGCAGCTTGTCGTACCGATGACCCCAAGGACCAGCGGGATAGTCTACAGCGACAGCGCCTTGCAACGCCCCACTCTTGATCTTCAGGCTCTCAACGTAACGTGTATCGTGTCCCTCGTGGTAGGCATCAACCCAGGCCTGCGAGCCGATAGTGCTATCCCCAGGAATGAGCAGGATGATATCCTTACTCCAAAGACTCCAGCGCTTGAAGTAGCGCGCCAACGTGAGAACCAATGCGACGCCAGAGTTGTTGACCTCGTCTGCCATGTTCTTCCATGCTCCGATCAAAACAATGGCTTCGGTTGCGTCTGCGCGGGGACCCTGGAGGATAGCATAGACGTTTTCGTTTGCGATGGTCTGGTTCGAGACGGTGTAGTTGTAGTGCTGGGTTGCGACTTTGAGGTTCTGTTCACGGAAGATGGCTTCGAGTCGCTGTGAGCGCCTGTTGCATAGTCAGCCTCGGGTTTGCAAGTTCCAGTCTGCATGCGCACTCTGCGACGGGCTTATCTATCAATCCATGGACCTCATGGCGATAGGCTCGAAAGACATTGTGCTCGCTGCCGGTAAAGTAGGTATGTACTTGTCCCGGAAGGAGCGCATTCTCAGAGACATATGTCCTCCGCGAGTATTCGTTCAAGGGGAGTACCAGGAGCCATCCTATGCCAATGATTATGCAGAGCGCGGAAAGGTAGGGCGGTAGCTTGAGTAGGCGTTTATCCTGCCGGAGCGCCAGTATCGAGGCTTCACGTGTTTGTTAGCTGTCGGTCCATGTCATGCGCGCCTAGAGCTAGACTCACACAGAAGAGCCATGTTGACGTCTCAGTCGCCCGTCATGTAGGAGAAGAGAGAGAGAGCAGAAAACGAGTTGTGTCCTTGCCCTCTGCCCAGCATCCCACATATCCGTCTGGGAAGGTGCTAAGTCGACTCGAGCGGGAGGATCGTCACTAGCGCCCCGTCGACCCTGGACCCTAGTCCCATTGTAATCTTCCAGTCTGTTCATCTTAGCACAACACAACGCGCCTGCATAACAACCACCCCAAACACTCGGCGTGCTCGCGACGACGATGCCTATAACCTCGATTCCCCAGATAAGCCCTGCGCGGATACGGTCGTATATCCTGCGCCTGCCATTCTGCACAAAGCTGCTAGTTGCGGCCATTGTAGGACTATGGGTTGCGACGATTCCGTTTCCGTGGATTAGAGACTTTGGGGCTTTGGAGCCGGCCAAGATGGATTTGACGCAGAGTATGTTTGTTCTGTTAACATCGGAGGGTTGGGTTCAACTACAACACTCTTGTTGCCATGTGTTGCGGCGCAGGCGTACCATGACCGAGGCAGGGCGCGGAAGTCACGGAGCTGGGAAGAAGACGAAGAGCTAATAGAATATACCTGTAGTGCACCGACTCAACTTATTTCCCTTGCTCCATTGGAATTTCATCCACATGATCTTCAACCTCTTCGCCGTAACACCACTTATCGAGCGCTTCGAGTCCGAGTATGGGACACTAGTCACGCTGGCGCTTTTCACTGGGCGTAAGATATATTCGGGGTGACACGCACAAATATCAAGCTGACCATGTGGCAGCTTTTGGAACCATACCAGGAGGCGTATACACCTTGTTGGAGAAGTTTGTGCTGAGGAGTAATACCTCGGTCATGGGTGCGAGGTATGCCAATTCCAAGTAATCCGTGTATGAGGACATACTGACAGAGACAGCGTATGGGTTTTCCTCCTGCTATCAGCCGAAGTGATGAAGACACACAAGGCGAACCCCTACTTTAGGTACAATCACACTTTCCCTCCCCCAGCCCGATTGTAACTAATCGGTTTCAGTGTCGGACCCTACAAGATTCCAACTTGGACCACACCACTCATTCTTATCGTTCTGACCAGCATACTCGTCCCGCACGTCAGTCTTGTGGGCCACCTGTGCGGTGCAGGCCTCGGCTACCTCTGGGCTTCCGGATACATCAAGTTCCTCGTACCACACGAGAAGATCTTGAGATGGATTGAGACGAAACTGAACCTGCTCGGAAGGTTACCGCACTACGTCAGTGTCGACCAAAAGACATACGGCCGCTACGGCGTACTTCCGACTACGAGCGTGCCGCTGAGCAACAGAACTCCTGACGGTGGACAACGACTTGGGCCGTAGTCGAGTCAAACGAGGGATTTGGGCTGTCGATTTGCTACCGGCGTTTTTGCATTGCGCGGAGTCTACGTGGCCACGAGGCGTTGAGGTGTGTTGCAGTGCTTGTAATACGGACGATTGGTCTTTCTGTACAGATATGTAGACTTAACGCGATACGGCATAATTCTAATGTTCTCCAAGGCAAATCTAGTTGTTCCCGACCATGGTTCGCCATCTCCCGCCTTGGTCTGCAGCCACTAACACTAGTCCTGCAACCCCCTGGTGCCCCTCATCCAACAAACTCTTCTTCTCCGCCCCACCGGACCCAACGACGAAGTTAGGCAACTCAAACGTGGGTTTTCCATGGTAAACCTCTCGTTATAAAAGATTTTTTCTACGAGTTTTCCATCAATCAGCTTCATCATCGCTTGGTGTAGCGATTTCCCGTCTCCTTGGTGTAGTTGGTTATCACGTGGGTCTCATATCATCACATATGACTGCTAGAATACAGCAGATATCCCAAGGCCGCCAGTTCGAGTCTGGCAGGGGACAGCTCAATTTTTGCCCCTGCGCAAGCCATGCGGGTGATTGGGCCTTGCTTTTTGTTTGTCTGCAGTGTTGCACATGCGTCGCTATTCATCATATCTTTTGCAATCACAACATTAATATGTGGAGGAAATTATAGTGTACCGCGCATCAATTTTTGAACCTGCTAAGGTAATACACAACCATAATTCCGTCGCGTGGCTGATTTCTGTATCGCTTTTCCGCAAATGGTCCATGTTTTTGTCAATGGGGTTGTGACGTTTCTTGCACGTAGCAGACTTCACCGCAGATTTCCACTACCAAAAACGGCAACTACAACAAGGCGTAGATTACAGCACTATCAGAGGGGCAGAACGATGAGGGGCAAAGGTGCGAGGGGCGCGGCGGGGTGGTCTTGGAGGGGCAAACCTGGGTTATGTTGAGGGAGGGGCACGCAAGACATCTCGTGAAGTTGCTCACGGCTGAGCTAGCGTAATGATATGAAACGAGACGAAATATGCTGGTGGGTCTGTCGTGGTCAAGTGATTGTAACTAATGCCTTCCAAAGAGATTCTTGTCTGTCTGCCAAGGGAAGCATTTTTCTGACCAGCGCCTCAAGTCAAGGTCAGCAAATCTCGATCGCTTGGATAGAAACATCGTTTACTTCAGTCAACGCAGAAACTCCATTGATGAGTCTAAGTAGCTTAGGCCGCCCCTCGAATTCCACGAAAATCAATACACGTATGCGCTTGCAGCTGATCTGGGGGTATTTGAACCACTTCCCATTGGACTTGAGCCTGGACTTAAGCCACCTCTTCTTCTGTCGGACCCAAGAATTCTTTCGAGCTCCTCTGCTTGCTTGAGCACATGTTGGAAATAACTGCCTTCGATGCTCCTCTCAGCCATGGCGTTGTTGTCCTGTAATACATTGAGGCAGAAGAACACCATGTTTCCTAAGAGAATGTTGCTCTTCATGTCAACTTGCGATGCGATTTCATGGGCACTGACCTCTTCACCATCGTTGATGTACAGCTTCGTCGTGTATGTCGCAGTGTCGAAATCAATGTGTGAGAACGGCGCTTTGAGCGCCATCTCCGCGAGAACGAGCCCGATGCGGAAGATTTGGATATGTTTGGAGAGGTCGCGACTGTCTCTTCTCTCACGGTTGCTTTTGTAGCATTTCTCCAAGGTGCGCGTCGTCAATGACTGGCCAGGCGCTGCGGTTAGCATGCTGATCCACTTTCCATCCTTGGTCCTGCGCCAGCGTATGTTCGAACAGTCGAGGAAAGACAGCCATTGGCTCCCTATCAATCGGAAACAGCCTTGCGCGACGCCAATTGCTATCGCGTTTTGATCCTGCGAGTATAGTTTTTGTGAGCCAAGATAGACGTTCTGGTCGCGAATCGTACTCGATAGAGGCTCCTTGTATTCCAAATCACAGAGGAGATTTGTCGGCGGATTCTTGACGATGAAACCTGCCGATGTAGACAAGGTTGGTACCATGTAGCAACTATCCTGCGTCTTGCTTGCAAGAGTTGACAGGGCAGTGGCGAGGTCGTTTGCGACCATGGATGGATCGTGGACGGCCTTGATGGTAACGGGCTGTACAAGGACTTCGTGGCTTGTTCCATGCATACTGAGTAAAAACGCAAAGTCGCGCCTATGAACTCGAGGAACTGAAATGCCGATGTGCAGTCGATGGCTCAATGCGCTGCACCGATGAAGCCGCTCAGCGTCTTTCTGGGCACGAACAACATCTAGTAACTGGCTCTCAATCGTGTCTGACCTTCTGTCTCCGGCCCTGATGATCAGGTGCCGCCCAGGGAGCCGTTCAATCTCTGAGAAAATGTCCACGTGCTCTTTTTCGAGGTAGAAATCAGAAAGGCGTTCCAGTGTGGCGAGCTTCTGATTCAGCCGCTTGAGACGCATCTCTAGGTCGTATGATTTTCCCAGAACGCTCAAGAAAAATCTGCGCGACCATGTGCTCTTGCGTTGTATCTTTCGGAGGCATTCTTTGACTCGTTCTTCGTGACCAATATCTTGGTTTTCTCCATAGTAGGTGCGCCCTTGCTCAACTTTGAGAGCAAGGCCTCTGATTCGGCTGATGTCGCTCTTGACGTTCCCTGTGATTATGTTGATAGTACCGATTGTGGCTGTTACGCGCTCATGACCCTCTTTTCCAAAGAGAATTCTAGTGTAAATATTGGGTCGATGAATCTGTATGTCGTACTTGTATTGCCAGCTGTCAAGAGAGATTCTTGCGAATTCGAGACCCTCCTCGATGTCGAAAAGTCGCTCAGACAGTAGCTTCCACTGTTCGATTTGCAGTGCGAAGGTGTGCAGAGCCTTTACTGCTGTATAGAGATTTGAGATAGTAGCCAGCACTTCAGCCATGGCGTATTCAGAATGACTGCCGTGTTATCTTGAAGACGTAGTTGGTACGTAATTTCGATGACGCAAAGCGCACGCGGAGTAGGCGGAAAGGACCTTTGAGCTATGCGCAGCTCGATCGCAATAACATGCAGCTACTGAGGGTAGATGTTATAACGCACGGTGTTGTCTAGAATGTAATGTGGGTACTGAGTGCCAGGTCGAGCAGAGGCGGGTCGATGTGATGGATCAAAAGAGAGTAGCCAAGGATATTAGATAGTTGGTAGCATGACCCATGAACTATTGCGGCTGAACTAATGCGAACGTTCAGCTCGTCGGTATTGGTGTGGGGTATCGCGGCAAGATTGGTTGTAAGCACACTGCACAAGGATGAGGTCACCGTTTGGTGGTACTCAGCCCCCAACGGCCCCCAACGATGTCAGAATTGGGCTTCCTGTTCAGGTGTTTGGGTCGCACTGATAATATGAGCCTAAATTCCTCCATCTCCTTGATTCTGTTGAGTTTCTGACCCCACTCACAGATTCCCTCTGCAATGGGGGGCGGTGCAAGAAGAAAGATTTGACGCATGCCTGTTATCCCCGTAGTACCTTGCCATCAACACTGGTGCATCTCGACTGGCGCCACAGAACAAGCTCTTGAGTGACTGATCTCTTCCCCTGGCTCAATCCTACACTATGGCACCATCTTCAGTTGAGATCGATGAGTATGATCGACATCCGAGCCACCTTCGGTCGCGTTCAGGAAGCTATGTCGATCACATAGAAGAGAAGACGAGATGGGACCGGAGAAGCCGCGAAAGAGAGATGAAACGTTACCATGACAGCCGCTATGGTACAGCCTCATTTTCAAGGTCTTCCAATCAACCTACGCCTGACCGACTCGGCGTTCCTGTATTCGAAACAACAGGAAGGACGCGATCGAGTTCAGATGCGAGCAGAAGACCTAGAGAACCAGAACGAAGGTACAACACACAGGAGGTGCGCCCGAGCACTGTCCCAGTCGACAGGTACGATCTGACCAGCGAGCCAATCTTACCCAGTCAGTCAACTGTCGTGTATGAGCGAAAGATGCAGCACCAGAAAAAGCCAAGCATCAAGGTGGAAATCCACCAAGATAATCCTCCCTTGTCCGTGAGCGGCACCTTTGCGCCAAAGAGGAGCCCAAGCGCTAGTCCAAGATCACGTACTGCACAACCTCAGCTTCAGTACCAATATGCAACAATTCAAAACAAGCTCTACCAAATCAGCAGTACATGCGCGCCATACATCGACGTTGAAGCAGCAGAGCCTCAAGACCTCACTTTTGAAAAGATAGTTGAACAGACTAAAGCCTTTTCTTTCGATTTGCGGGTGTGGGCTCATCTTGCGAACATTGAGGGTATGGCCAGGGTCGATTCACGTAAAAGGGAGGTCGTGGATGCTGCATCGCGAAGCCTGGACCGCCTGCTGGATCAGATAACGACCTTGAACGACGCTTGTTTCAGGGCCAAGCCGCGGGATCTAAAGTTTAAAGTGCTCCCTGAAGTCGAAGATGACAGCTTGTTCGAAGATGGAGATGACGACAGGTACGTGCCTGTAGGACGCGAACACGATTGTGCTGACAGATGGTTTCAGCTGTGATTTAGACCCTACAGAGACTCTGAGCTTCGCTATCCATTCCAGTCTACACAGCATCGAGCTGCAAATCCAAAACCTCAAGCGCTTGAGTCGGACGCTGCAAGAGGCCACACCAGATGCGAAGAGCGAGGTTATGGCGATCGCGGGGCTCGTAGCGGAGACAGTAAAGTACTTTGGATCGCAGGAAGCATTGAGTCGCTGATCAATAAACGAACAAATTGCTGGGAGGAAGGGGTTGGAGGACGGACGCCATGCGAACTTGCATTAGCCGGATAAGAGTTTGTAGTTTCTTGGTCCATTTGAGAGATCATTTAGCATATGTGCAAGGTGCGAGGTTACAATTGACGTGTGCTTTAAGGCGATTGCGTTTCCAGATTTCGGTGCATTGATCTTGCAGCGTGAGGAATGCGGCATGTGTGAAGAGCGATGGGTTGGTTGTGGCTGCTGGGACCCTCGCGTCATGCCTAGGTAAACTAAAAGCCTCCAAGATTGGAAGGCAGGGCTCGGCGCAACCACTGCAGCCACCGCCGTCATGTTTTACGAGAACCCCACACGCTATATCGATTGGGTGGATGGAAGATCCAAATCACCGAGGACCGTTGGGTCCTGAACTGAGCGTCGATTTCCAAGAGCTTCTACGACGCGTTGCGAGCGTGAAGAATGAAAAAGAGAGGCTGGTCAGTACGCTAACCTCACGCTACGTCATCGCTGTTCCCTACTTGGTCGAAAATCCGGCATAACAGTAACAAACCAGACGTTGGCAGTGGCACCATACTCTCGATTTCAACTCTTCGCAGTATGAACCACATTGTCTCCAACTGTTCTGCAGATGGTACGGTGCCTCCCGTCAGAACTTCGGGGAAAGATCGCCATCCACGGTCCATCGTGCATGTCTGGTTCCAATCCCGGCATACTGAAAGTCTCGAGACACTGAGCGAGGGAACATGTTCGTAGGAAGGTGTGTATTGGCTAAATGAGATTCAAGAAGGACTCAAAGCCCTCACCTTTCCGAACATCTTGGAAAGAAGAAGCGAATATTTACAGCGCAGCACAAGGAAAGACTGCAGGATCAAGCAACATGCCAGATTCTAGGAGAATTGTGCATCATCTCAACCGAGCCAAACTCAGGTATTTCCACCCAAGGCCCCGATTACCTTCAAGCACTTACGAACACTTGGTAACGCTGGGCACGTTGGAGCACTTGTCATAGGTCTTACCACCAGTAACGTCGACACCGGTCCAGGTCCAGCCTGTGCAAGAGCCTTTGCCACAGGTGACAACGACGTCGTAGCCGCTGCTGGAAACACCACCAGTGACGTTGTCAAGTGTCAAGGCGGTGATGGGGACACCAGTGTCCGCGTCACCATGAAGGTCACCGCCATCGTAGTTCTGCTCAATAAGAACGCCATACCTGGAACGTATTAGAATTTGGCAATGGGTGAAACTTTGAGAAAACGTACTTGGAAATCTCAGACAGAGTAATATCTTCATAGGTGACTTTGTTAATCTTGCCGGTTGTGCCAACCTTAGCCTTGACGCGGACACCGTTGACAGACTTGGTGACCTCGGAATTGGAGAAGGTGACAGTGTCGACAGTGTTATCGTCACGACCACCAACCGAGCCAATGGATAGACCGTGTCCACCGGAGCAGAGGCCGTTCTTGAAGGTGATTTCCTAGCCGACTTGTTAGTAGGTGCGAATACCGCAATTTCATGTCATTACTTACGGTACCTGAGTTGACAGCTACGCAATCATCCTGGTTGTAAACCTTAGCGCCATCAATGATGACGTTGTTGCTGGAGCCAATATCGAAACCATCTGTGTTGTGGCCCTGCTCGTCCTTGTCGCCGTCGGACGCATCAATAGTCATGTCTGTAATGGTAAGACCATCGCAGCCGTTGATACTAACGACTTGGACGGGAGGGTTCTTGATGGTAATGCCGGTGATGGTGGAGTCGGTCAGTTTGTGAGCGGAGAAGAACTTGGGCTTGGTCTTTCCACCATTTCCACCCTTACCGTCCCACCAACGAGCACCATCACCATTGAGAACAGATCCCTCGGCGCCCTTGACAGTGATCTTCTTTCCTTGGATGTCAAGAAGAGGACCCTTCCACTCCGAGTAGCCCCAGGTGGTGGTACCCTCGAAGATGACAGTAGTACCGTCAGCCAGACTAGAGAGGTCCAAAGTTGTGCCTGAAGGGACGGCAACGTCGGAAAGGACCATGGTAGCACATGATGACTGTGACTTGGAAGCCTCAGCAGCTCCGTTGGAGCCTGAAAAAGTGCAGCTGGAGGCACGCTTCACGACTTCGGGCTTGGGTGCAGGAGTGATGGCTGGGGCCGGAGCTGCAACAGCAGACGCCGCCAGCGACGTGAAGAAGATACCAAGAGTTAAGGCAACCATTGTGAAAGATGCTTGATATTGAAGAGAAGCTTGAAGGAGTGAGTGAATTGCTTGGTTGCTTGGCCTACATGCTTGGTACGCCACATATATATACAGATTTCTAGCAATGCTATACACGCATGTCAATGACTTAGCTATCAGCTTCCTACTCATGTATCGATGGTACAGTCTACGTTCCCATCATTTCCCGAGTCGAGTTTCTCCATAGTGAAAGATGAAGGATTGTTTCGAAGTCCTCCAATAAGTGGAGAGCATGGAGACGAGATGAGAGAGACGTAATCGCTCGAAGCAACACTTGCTCAGTGCGTGTGTGTCGCCAAGGGACTTTTGTTTCAAAAAATCCTCCAATGGGTGGACCCGCTAAAGATCCACATGTCCAGACCTGTCGTTCGAAAGGCACCCCCGTTTTCGCGTCAATGCATTACCAGAACCGTGTGACAAGCATCGGGAAACACGGAAACTAAAATGCTTGACTCTTTTGCAGCCCGCCTCAGGAGAAGGAACATGGGAAAGCTCTCTTCCGTGGATGAGGTAAGGTCTCAAAAGCGGCTAGCCCTTCCGCCGGACATTAATTGCACATCTGCGTTGTTCCCAGCGGTTCGCGGTTCGCGGGTCGCTCACGTTTTCGTTCCGATCTCTGTGGCTGCGATTCCAAGGCCAACAAAAGACACAAAATGCATGCTGCTGGACTCTCCCATGACGCGTATCGGACTTGTCCCTTCCTGTTAGGGCAAACCTTCCGCTGGCAAGCTTCCTTCACAAGCACCTCGGCATTCTCGGGCAGATGATGTTCCCCCTTCTCCGCAAAACGCCACATCTGGGGTCTTAGTACCTTGCATATATTACCCCGCGGCCTCGCTTGCAGCAGTTCTTCCATGGCAAACATTATACCGTCAATGATATCGTTCCGTGAAGCGCAGGTCCGGAGGACGATCTTCGACCGCGGCTGAAATCTGCGGGCTAGTTGCATGCGAGCTCCAAGGCAGGGTTATTGAGCAAAAGTCGCGTCGCGTCCAGTATTGAACCTTTTTCTGGTCACTGAGCAAGTCAAGATGCGGTTCTTCCATCTTTTTGCTGTCGCGATCTCGCTGTTCTTTTGTGCATTGGCTACCGACAATGGCCTTCAAACGGACGTGGAGTGGGATAATGGATCGCTCATGGTCAATGGCGAGCGTGTAATGATTATGAGTGGAGAATTCCGTACGTTGATGAAATGGAATGAACAGACCGTACATGAAAGACATGCTAATCCTTGCATGTGTACCTCTCAGACTACGCTCGTCTCCCCGTTCCAGAGCTATGGCTCGACGTCTTCCAGAAGTTCAAGGCGAACGGCATGAATGCTGTCTCGATCTACTTCTTCTGGTCGTATCATTCGGCATCGAAAGGCGTGTACGATTTCACGACACCTGGAAAGGACATTCAGCGCCTGTTTGACATGGCCAAAGAAGCCGGCCTCTACGTGATTGCACGGCCAGGGCCCTACTGCAACGCCGAGACTAACGGTGGTGGTTTCGCGCTTTGGACCAGCGACGGGAGTGGTGGCAAGTACAGAACATCAGATGAGACCTATCGGCAAGCATGGTCGGAATGGATTGCTGAAGTTGGCAAGATCATTGCGAAGAACCAGATCACCAATGGTGGACCAGTCATCCTAGCGCAAGTCGAGAACGAACTCCAGCAAACTCGTTACGAGGCCGACAACACATTGGTCATTTACATGGAACAACTTAAGACCGCCTTCAAAGACGCAGGCATCATCGTACCTTTGTCACACAACGAAAAGGGCTTCAGATCGAAGAGTTGGTCCACTGATTACAACAATGTCGGTGGCGCGATCAATGTTTATGGGCTGGACAGCTACCCCGGTGGCATGAGCTGCACAAATCTCGACACTGGATTCAACCTGCCGAGAACGTACTACCAGTGGTTTCAGGAGGTCTCCCCCACTCAACCTGAATATCTCCCCGAGTTCGAGGTAAGTCGTGACCTTACTAAACGCATGTGGAACATACACTGACCTGTTGTCTTCACCTCATTAGGGAGGGTGGTTCCAACCTTGGGGCGGTTACTTCTTCGATCAGTGCTTGGCTGAACAGAGCCCTGAATTTGCGGATGTTTTCTACAAAGGACTAATCGGACAGCGCGCTAGTCTTTTGAATCTGTACATGGCCTATGGAGGTACAAACTGGGGACATAGGTGAGTCGGGACTGCACGAAATGCATTTGAGACGTACACTAACTTGGTACCTCCATCTGAACAGTGCCGCCCCCGTACGTAACTCCTGTTCATGAACTATATTTGAAACATATACTGACTTCATACTCCCATACTCAGGTAGTATACACCTCCTACGACTACGACGCACCACTACGCGAGACCAGGGAGGTACGCGACAAGTTCAAGCAGTACAAGCTTCTTGCCCTCTTTACCCGTGTTAGTAAAGGCCTGCACAACACCTTCATGGAAAACAACGGCACCGCAAATGCAGTCGACAATTCAGCCATCTGGACCTGGCAACTCAAGAATCGCAATACAGAGAGTAGATTCTACCTCGCCGAGAACAACAACACGCGCACCCGTGCTGTGACTGATTTCTCGATGACGGTCAAGACATCTGAAGGCGATGTTAAGATTTCGAGCTTACAGCTTGCGGGTCGACAAAGTCGATGGGTAATTACAGATTACTCTGTGGGTAATGAGACGCTACTTTACTCGTCGGCTGAGATCGCGACCTACGGTTTGTTCAATCGACCTGTCATTGTCTTCTACACACGCGAAGGACAGGCGGGAGAATTTGCTTTCAAATCGCAGAGCAACCTGACATTCAAAACGTACGGCGCGAAATCAGACATTGCAAGCGCATCGTCGAACAGCACATACTCAAGCTTTTCTTACACACAAAGCAAGGGGGCAACGGTGGTAGAGTTCTCAAATGGGGTGCTTGCTTACTTGCTCGATATACCAACTGCGTACACCTTTTTCGCGCCAGCAACGACTAATGATCCGAATGTCACTCCCGAGCACCAGATCTTCGTACAAGGACCGTATCTAGTTCGCTCAGCTAGCATATCAGGTGGTGCAGTTTCTGTTATTGGCGATAATGCGAATGCGACCACCATCGAGGTATACGCCGGCTCTGGTGCGGATACAATATCCTGGAATGGAAAGGAGCTCGCTACAACGAAGACACCCTACGGCTCCCTCACTGCCGCAATCGATGGTACCAAGGACCGCGACATCACTCTTCCAGAGCTTTCAAACTTCAAAGCGGCTGAATCCTCCCCCGAGATCCAACCCTCATACGACGACAGCAATTGGGTAGTCGCCGACAAGAACACCACACTAAGCCCTGTAAAGCCCCTAACTCTTCCTGTACTCTTCAGCAGTGACTACAAGTACTACACTGGGGCCAAAATCTATCGCGGATACTTCTCAGGCAAATCTGCAACATCCCTCAACATCACAGTTCAGGGTGGCGTGGCTGCGGGTAAGATAACCCCTTGTACGGATTGTACACGAGACACACAAACTGACTTTGTACATGAGTATATTAGGATGGAACGCATGGCTGAATGGGAAGTCGATTGGTTACCATCCTGGTAACGCGTCGCAAACTTCGACGACCGCATTGCTGTCTTTCAAAAACATCACATTGAAGGATGAAGGCAATGTTTTGACAGTAACAACGGACTATACTGGCCATGACCAGACATCAACAGGCCCAGCCGGCGCAGAAAATCCTCGTGGTATACTCGGTGCACAGCTCCTCAGCGGCAACAATACCAAGCTATCCTTCGACCAATGGAAGATCCAAGGTAACGCGGGCGGAGAGCGTAACATCGACCCTGTTAGTGGTTTTCCTGCACAAAACGCATGTAAAACATACACTGACTTTGTACGACCTTTAGGTTCGCGGCCCCATGAATGAAGGCGGTCTCTACGGTGAGCGTCTTGGGTGGCATCTTCCCGGTTTCGATACCTCCTCCTGGGAGGATGCTAGCCCCACCACTGACGGCGTCCAAGGCGCCGCCATCCGCTGGTTCACGACGACATTCTCTCTTTCTATCGACTCCGATCTCGATGTCCCTGTCGGCATCGAAGTCGGGGCGCCGAAAGGTACCATTGCCCGTATGCTTCTCTTCGTCAACGGGTATCAGTACGGCAAATATGTTCCGCACATTGGACCACAGGTACGTTATGGCTGTACGACATGCATGTGAGACATGCACTGACTTGGTTTTCCAGACACGATTCCCTATTCCTCCTGGCATCCTCAATATGAAGGGCGAGAATGTTTTGAGCGTGGCGATGTGGGCGCAGACTGAGGCTGGAGCGAAGTTGGACACGCTGAAGTTGGTTGAGTATGCTAGGTATGAGAGTGGCTTCGCCTTTGCAAGCATCGATGGAAAGGCGTTGCAGGATCGATGGGAGGATAGGAGTCAATACGCATAAACTTTGGCAGGCTCGTACTAGATAGTGTATGATCTAGCCTACTGATATCAATCCATCAAGGGTCGACTTGGTCTGCCAGTTCCACTCAATATTCCCATCCATCATCTCCACTATCTTCAAAGTCTAGGACCATGTCTACCCAGTTTCCTCCACCATACTGGCATTTACTCGGGCCAATCTTCTTGAACCCCGCCTTCTCGTAGAACTGTATATATCGGTCCCTACAGATGAGCGCTATCCTAGATGCCACACCTGAGTCTTTGATTCTTTGTACGTAGCTCTGCAGTAATATCGAGCCGAGCCCTTTGCGCGCGAAGTTGGGATGCACACATAGCGAGTGCAGGCACACTGTCTGGCCGTCTTCATTGTGCCCTACTTTTGGCGTAAGCTGGTAGTTGGTCTTCCAGTCCTTGGGGTAGTCCATAGCGTCATCAGTAACAACAGGTGAGTTCGCTTTGGTTGAGATGATGTGGCCAATTATCACACGCTTCCGGTCAGTGTCGGTCGAGTCTAATGACGGAAACGAATGCAATTTAATAGTTTCGCCTAGTGGCCCTGATGTGGTGGGGTAGGCGGATGAGAAGAGGCCGCTACATAGTTCACCGCAGGTTCGCAGACGGTATTCGAGCTACAATTGGTCAGCGTCAGATCTGGAGATTTTGTATACCAGAGATGCTTGTAAACCCAGAGTCTATTGGATCAAGTCTTGAGAAGGAAGGGGCGTGGCACAGGAACGACCAAAATAGGAAAGAGCGACCAGCTAGTGTACGACAAACTCAATTGATGCCGTTAATGGATGCACGAGGGAGATGAGAGTTTGGTGCAATGTTGGATGAAAACAAGGCAGACGAAAAGCATGCAGACTTGAGAGTTGGAGTAACCTGGTGATGGAGAAGAGCGCACGGTGCGAGGCCTGATGGAGCCCAACGGTGGTACTGAATAAGAGATACAGGCATTGACTGTGATACTAGAGAAACAAGACAGACAGCAAATTGTTCTTCTCACCTTCTCGCGCGACGCGGCTTCAACCGGATCAAAGGCGGCATGCTCAAGCCAATCGCAGTCGTCAAGGTCGTCGATGTTCAGCAAAGAAGCATATGGACGAACTCCCATCTGCTTCAACCGCCCCTCCTGGGCAATGTTGGAGCTGCGATGGGGTACCAGACTAGATTGCTCGACGGGTTCCGGACTAGAGACGGTCTCAGGTTCTCTTGATAGTTGGGGCATGGCATCCAGCGTCTTCTTGTCTGCTAATAAGTCCCGAGGCATCTTGGCGGTCGATGGCAACAGACGTTGTGGTGGGTGGGCGATGGAAGGATACGGCAGGGAGGCAGGTGGATGCAGCTGTAGGAGGCCGAAGTGCAGCGATGGGTTTGTGGGTTCGTGGTTCCTGGAAGACTCACGAGACTCTGCGGCCTCAGCCCCGCCTTTACTAGCGGTTCGCTTCGCTTCGCGTTGCCGTTGCAGATCGTTCCGGGTTAGCTGGGGACGGGAGCTGACTCGGGGGAGCAGGCGGGGGCATGTTTCCTAGGTAGGTATTCTTGTGGTGGTGTATCATGTACTAATTCGCGACGTGACCGTGTTTCTCTCGGGAGCAGCAGGCGGTGCTAGCGGGGTGTGCTCAGCGGCGGCCTCGTCGGCCCATGCCCTGACTAGCAAGGTGGTGGCAATGGATTTACGAATGACGTGCAGTAGGAGGATGGGTGCAGCGGCGGCCAGACGATTCTCCTGCATGCTGCGTTGGGCCGACGTCGAGGCATGGCAGACGTGATGCTAGCTTGGGCCTACACGGCCAACGTCGTGGTTCCGTACGCTCGCCCACGACTGCGCGTCGATGCCTACGCCTGCGCGCTGATTCATCCGACGCTGGGTTCGCGGCTCCACTACGTTCCATTCCCTTCCAGCCCAGGCGGCGACCGCGTTCCCAAGGTTGCGACAAAAACACCACGGCCCAGTGCCTCCTTCCCTATAAGCTCCCTCCCGCGCACCGAGACATCACACAGTCGCCTCCCGCCCGACCCAAGCCAACCTCAACCACCCCGCGTGTCACATCCAGTGGCCTCATCCAGACGTGCCCGCATACGCCCCAACACGCGCTCCGGCCCACCATGTGAGTTTGTACCAGAGCCATTGCTGTGCCACGACGCTGCCCCGAGCACGCTGCTAACCCGCTGCTGCCAGGCCTCGCGTCACCATATCCATCACCGCGCCCGGCACCCAGGCCGACACAGACCTGCTGACGCTCGAACTGCCGCCGGGCAGCACCGTCAAGGACCTCAAGGGCTTCATCGAGGCCGACACCAACCTGCCCGCGGCGTCACAGAGCCTCTACCTGAACGGCCAGCCGGTAGCCATAGACACGCAGACACTCGAGGACGCCGGGGTACGGGATGGCGAGATGCTGGCCGTCGTGATGCGCCCCGCACCCCGACAGAACAGGAACCTCCAGCACCCGGGCAGGCCCGCCCAACCTGATCCAGAGGGCGTGCGACAGCTCGTCCTCAACGACCCCCAGCAGATGAACAAGCTGCGTCAGGGTGACCCGGAGCTCGCCGCCGCCGTCAACGACCCCACCCGCTGGAGAGATACATATGCCATGAGGCAACGACAGGCGGAGGAGTCGGAGCGCGAGCGTCAGAACCAGATCGCCCTGCTCAACGAGGACCCCTTCAACGTCGAGGCGCAACGAAAGATAGAAGACATTATTCGCCAGGACCGCGTTGTCGAGAATCTGCAAAAGGCATACGACGAGAACCCTGAAGGTACCAACACATCATTCCCAACAAGTCAAACACGTCCGACTCGCATTGAGCCCATGCTAATCTTTCACACAGTCTTCACCCGCGTGCACATGCTCTACGTCAACACCGAGGTCAATGGCGTGCCCGTCAAGGCCTTTGTCGACTCTGGCGCCCAGGCCACAATCATGTCCCCCGACTGCGCCGAGCGATGTGGTATCATGCGGCTGATGGACGTCCGATACGCCGGCATGGCGCGTGGTGTCGGTACAGCGCGCATTCTGGGTCGCGTACATCACGCCGAGATCAAGATTGGTGGCGCAGTCATGCCCTGCGCTTTCACTGTCATGGAAGGCAAGGATGTCGATCTACTTTTCGGTCTGGACATGCTTAAGCGTTACCGCGCCAAAATCGATCTTGAGAAGAATGCCCTGTGCTTCGAAGGTCAGGAAGTACCCTTCTTGCACGAATCGGAAATCCCCAGGAGCTTCGAGGAGGCCGAGATGAATGAACCGACTGTGTCTGGTCCTAATGGAGAGGAGATTGGTGCAAAGACGGGTGCTGTACGACCGAAAGGTAGCGCTGCAGCTGGTTCCTCGAATGCAGGTGCCTCATCTTCGTCGTCTCAACCTACACAGCAGCAAGCCCCACCCACAGCGTCCAAGGCACCCGCACCGTCTGCACCTAACAGCAACTTTCCCCGGGAACATGTTCAGCAACTTACCGGCATGTTTGGCTGCTCAGAACAAGAAGCCATACAAGCCTTGGAGATGTTCGGAGGCAACGTCGAACATGCTGCAAGTTTTCTCATCGGTTAGTGCATGCGGGAACATCAGGACATGCTCAGTATTGCTACACGGCGCTTGCCTGCCTTTGCCTACGACTTACTTAACATGGTTTCTACCATTTGAAGAGATGTGGATAATTCAAATGAGTCTTTAGATGAGGAGACGAGGAAACGAGTTCACGACATGGCATCGAATAGCATGCATGCGTTATCATTGAACAGGAATAGAAGCTGAAGAGTTTCCTATGAATAAATGCATCTTCACGAAGATCAGATAGATCAATTGATGAAAGGCTTTCAACGCCTGTTACATGCTTCTTGCCATGACAGTATACTCCCACACCTATTCGATTATACGCCCCGCTCACCTGATCTTGTACAGGCAAGGTTTCAATACCGCCCCATCCTTTTCGTCACCCTCATTCTCTCCCTCACCCGCACCAAATCTCTTCCCCTTGAGCCCAAACTTCATACCCCCGCCTCTCTGTGCCACAGCTCCTGCTTTCTGATCTTCTCTCGCATTCTTGCCCTTGCTCGGGTGTGCCGCCTTGACAAACTGCATCTTGACAAACATCTTGTTGCTCAGATCGATCGCATCCGCTGGCCTCTCCGGCAAAGCATCAAGCACAAATCCCCGCTTCCTCAGTACCTCGATGAATGCGGAAACATCTGTTCCCTCCTTGCCCTCTTGACCATCTACATTGACCGCGAGTTCAGCCTCGTCTTCAGAGTCAACGGGGCCTTCCTCAGGCGGCTTGTCTGCCTTTGCTTTCTTTACCTTAGGCGGTTTCTTGTCCATTGTCTTCTTGAGTGAGCCGATAGAATTTATGGGTACACCGCCCTTCTTCTTGTCTACGCGTCCAAATCGAGATTTGATCTCCGAGACCCACAGTTCGCCTTTCCAGCGAAGGATGCGGTATGCTTCGTCGATGAAGTCGAGCCAGTTTGTTCCCATAAGGGCGAGACAAAATATGGCTACGTCGACGCTATTTTCGGGGATAGGGAGTGCGGAGATGTCGGCTATGGTTACGAGATCGGCAGAAGGACCCGAAGGTTTGGACAAATCAAAGGAGTGGAATGTGAGGTTGAGGGACTTGAGGTGCGGTTGTAGGCGGTACGATAACGAAGCTGTTCCACAGCCTAGATCAGCGATTGTGCTGTGGCCTTTAAAGTCTCTGGGCAGTGGTTTCGCGTCGCCTCTGGGAGGTGCTATAGCTGTAGTCTCTTCTTCTTCAAAGCCTGGGCCTCTGCGGACTCCGTTCTTTGCTGGTCCTCTTCTGTCCTTCCGCGCGTCCTTGTTCCGCAATTTTCCTCTTACGAGTATGCTGTTCACGTAACCGTCTACAGGGTTCGATGGCCATACTTCGACCTGCTGGGCAAATCCACGGTGGTAATCTTCGAACATGGATGGGTCTTCCTTGAAGAGAGACGCGCTGTCGGCGGAGGGCTTCGTATAAAGTGCTTCGTTCAGGTGACGGAATCGCGCACTAGCTAGCTTGCTGCGCATAGATCGCTGGAGGGGTGTGAGGCCCTTGGGTTCGGGGAGGAGGTTTTCTAAGGCTGGGGTTTCAGAAATAGACTTCGTGCCGGCGGCATTTGCGGCGAGCAGTTTGTCAGCTTTGGACTCCTTCCTGCGCTTCTTCTTCTCGCGTTTTGACTCGCTCTCGGCCGTCGCGGGCTCATCCCCAGCAGACTTGGCAGCATCTGCTTTACCCTCTGAAGGTTCTGCTACCAGTGTAACCTCTGCCTCTGCTCCTTTTTCGCCATCTCCATCCATTGCCTTGTCCTTGTTACCTCCGGCTTTTCCTCGCTTTCTCTTCTTCCCGCGCTTCTCTTGCGCTGCCTCATCTGTCGCTTCTACGCCATCCGCCTCCGGCTTCTTGGTCTTCTCCACCTGCGTTCCTTTTCCTTTGGCTATATTGTCCCATTGTTCTGCCAAGTTGTCCGCGTTAATCTGCTGCTCCTCGCGCTTCTCTTTCCTCTTCTGCGCCTTCTTCCCGGGTTTCGTGGAATCTTTCTGTTTGGGTGCCTCGACCTGAGTCTTCACCTGCGCGGCAACGTTCCACCCAGGAACAGCGAACATGTTGACGAGCTGGTGGAGACAAGTATGCGATAGTGACGTGAGATTTGGAAGACGCGCAAGAAAGTTCCTGGCACGGCTCGAAAATTTGGGCGGCGGAAGGTTTTACCGAGATGTGGGGCTTTAGCGCGGAGTTCGTCAACTCCACTTTGCTGGCACCGCATACAAGGGAGAAATTGAAGAGGTACGCTAAAGCTTTCTACTGCTCTACAGCCTACAACAGCACTAAGGTAATTATTATTTATATAGACATTAAGGTTTAAAGTCTACATTAACTTAGAATATCTGGTATTATTCTACAAAATACTGTTGTAGACTGCAGTAGGGAGGACTAGGTACTCCCGCTCCTCGGAATTTCCTTGTATACGGTACTGGAGCAGACTGGTCGCGTTCTCTTGGCACAGCTTGAAGATATTCGCAAAGTAGAAAAACCTAACGCGGCCCCCTCGCCGGGCCGATAGCTTTGCTTCCAAGTCAACTGCGATAGGTACCTAGCTGTCGATTGCGCAATGGTTCACTCTTACAAGTCAAGACTGTGTCATGTCTTGGATGAATACACTGTACAAGCACTTTGATGTCTCGCCTTTCCGCCAAAGTCATATGCATCACGCCTAAATACTTTGACAACCACACTGTTAGTATATCATGTCAACATCATATTCTGACTAGGTCTCGTACATAAAACCTTCTCGGTCCTTTCCAACGTATAAACTTTGCAGAGTTTACTGAACGCCAAACGCAGGTCATCGTTATCAACATTACCATGTCTACGTTGGGCGATATGCAGAAGCAGCTGTCCCACATTGTGGAAGAGGCGAAAACTAAAGGCTACAAGATCGAGGACGTCATCCCAGAGAATATGCAGAATCACTTCTCGGAGATGACTGAGCTCAACGCAGCACGCCAATATATTCATGAGATCCAGGCTCGTGAGCAAGATCTTCAGATCGATAACAACGCCCTACGAGCCAAAATCAAAGAGAAAGAAGCCGAGATCAATGACCAGCCAGCTGAATTCAAGGCTCTCAAGGTTGATCTCCAACAAGCGTACCGCCAGATCGATTACTACCGCGATCTTTCTGAGGACTCCCAACGGCGTGCGCAACGCTACCATCGCGATCTTTCTCTTGCTGTCAAAGACCAGATTGCCTTCAATGAAGCTATTGCCAAAATTGAGCGTCTACAGAACGAGCTTGGCCAGCATCAGTCCACGATCCGGCAGCTACAAACAGAAAACGAACGCACGGCTGAGACATTCGCTCACCTCCGCGCACAAGACGCAAGACTCATAGCAGCAAATGAAGCCCAATTCGCTAATATTATGTCACACACTTCTCAAATCGAAAACGAAAACGAACTATTCAACGAAACGTTTACCACGCTCATTGACAAACTAGAGTTCGAGGTTTCATCCGCAGCCACTTCTGTCAATGACAAGGCTACCCTACTGCGTAAGATGGAAATACTGCACAACGCTATTTTCAGTGAGGTAGCACCTCTGAATCGCTTGTTCTCTCGTGCCCTCAAAGTGCTTCAAATTTACCAAATGCTTTTTCAATCGCTCTCCGATCCATGCAACTCTGACATAGCCAGTTTGCCGCTTGAACTGGATCCGCTTATTGAAGGTGCTATGCAGGACCTGTACGTTTACAACGAGGTGCACAGAACCATGTGCCAAGATTCAGGGCTTGCTGGGGAGCACATTCGTGTACATCTGAACGGTATCTCCAAGAGCGCGAACGATATGCTACAAAGCCTAAGTTCCATCAAAGGGGATATGGCAAACTTTCTAGCGCGTTTAAAGAAAGAGCCAGGTACGTGGGCGGCTATGAAGGCAAAGTTCGGTATATCTGGGAAGAAGAAGGTTATAGGGAAAAGGTTTTCTGTTCACTGAGGTGGTGGCAACGCTTTCTCAGCGTCGGTTTTAGCCATCTACTTCTTGGGTAGCCCTGTTATGTGATTCATCTTCATCGACCATTGCGTGCACAGTTGCAACAGAACCGAGTGAATTTCCTTGAAGCTTGCATCACCCTCAACACCTCCTTACAATTCGAGCCACATCTGCAGACACCGTGCAACTACAGCTTATAGATTCATCACTTCGATCAATTGTATTTTCAGGGCCTTCGTAAGATTGTTATATTATTTAGATACCCGAAAGGTCCAGATACTCCTAACGAGATACCATTGATATATGGGTTGTGGCTGTAATATAGGAGCACCGCTCTTTCTGATGCATGGTGGTAGGTAGTGGCTGGATCTCGGTGTGAATGCAATGCGAAGAAGGCTCACGAATGTGAACGCATAACGTCCAGCGAATAATCCTTACATAAATCACACACAGCGGCTTTACAGACCTATTAATACTCTTCCGTATTGCCATGATTTGAATCTTACTCTACAACAGACGTCATCGCTGGCATGTTGTCTTCACACGAACAGAGTGCTATGACATCAGGCTGTAATAACATGTTGTCTTACGATGATTTGGAGGCTACTGAACGGGCAGCTCTAACTCATCACTCGAGTATCTCGCATGCCACGGATACGGTGGATGACAGCGCAGATGAGTACCAGCCGGACGACTATGAGGAAGAGCACGACCATGAGGATGCAATGATGATAGATGCACCGGAAAGCACACACATTGGCGCTCCTCACACCATAGCTCACATGGACAGAGAGGCAAAACAGTATCGCTCCGACGAACAGGTCGGCTTCATCATTCTGACACGCGACAACAACAAGCCAGATGCCTACGGTACAGTGTCAGAAACACATGGGCCCCTTCCATGGCCAGGTGTCGCCAAAGCATACAACGAGAAGTACAAGCTCTGCGTCGGCCCAGCGGCGATGGAAAAGCGTGCACGGCAACACCGAGGCGCTTGGATGGTAAAGCATCCAACTTATCCAACCAGCATAGTTTATACGAAGAAGGGCCAAGACATCGCAAGGTCGGCGTGTAGACGGTCTGGTCGTCAAGCCCGGTGAATCACAGACACCTGCCGAACCGTTCGAAGGTCACATCTTCAACCACCGTGTTGGTGACTATATGCTCGACTCGGACGACGAAGAAGACTGCAAGATGAATGTCGGCGGTTGGGTACCACCAGACATCGTTCGCAATCAGGTGGCAGACCTCAGTAGCTACCTAGATCAACTGAGGTCAGCACAAATCGGAAATTTTGTGATAGAGGTTTTTGATGCGCAGAACGTATCGCTGGGGACTATTGTTGCTGACCGTGAAGACCTTGTAAGTTCCCCGTTGTTACAACGATTAATGAACGGTAATGGTAGGACACAAGTGCAGCTTCATTGCTGTGCCACCACAGTCGTTCAATCGTACGTACGCTGTACCTCATCCAAAGGGCTGGTTGAGCTGCCAGCACATCTTCTTCGCGATAGTAGCTTGCTCATGAACTTGTACTGCTTCGCCACGCAGCTCGAAGATGACTCGGTTCGTGAGCTGATATTAGCTCTATGGCACCGTTTCGCCGAGTCGAATACAGAAGTCAGTCTAGGTCTCGAAGACCTTAACCTGCTTTTTGAATGTACCTGCAGTGGGGATCCAGCGCGAGAGTTCTGAACTACCACTGTTTGTACTATGGGGTTGGCTGCCCAGCTCATCAAAATGGGCGAGTGCAATGTGAATTTGATCGCCGAGATCCAGGACGTGGTGGCAAGAGCTTCTGTGTGAATAGTGCGTCAAGAGCAGCTGGTCGCCACAACGGGATCCAGGGCTTTCCATCACATGAGTGACCAGTGATCGATAGAGCTCGACGCCGCGGAAATGACCTATGTATTCAAGATCAACTAGTCTATTCCTTTTCGCTGTAGTGTCGTCAGAAGCGTTGTACTCCGTGCTCCGCCTGTGGTCTTTCCGCGGTTCGTACCGACTAGTATCTTTCTTGCGTAGAACGAGATGAAGAATACGGAAAATTCGCGAACAACTCCGAGATATAAGTGTAATCCCGCTGCAGCCAATTCGTTGGAGGCCCAGATCTAGCCCAGCATGAACTAAAATCTCCGTATACTAAAGCCTTTAGAGTTTGACTTGGGAAGTCTTGCTCGAACGAGGATGCATCCGGAACGAGGTCTAGGGATATCACGAGATTTCAAAGACATATTTCAAGCCAAAAGGATTCCGGTGTAGGCATCTAGTGCGTAACCGAACCGGACCGGGTTACCGATGCCTAGAAGATGGGTGACAGGTTTGCTTTACCTTGGCAGATCAAACTTTTCATCAAATCATTAGTTGTGAAGCCAGAATGGTCAATAGGCCGGACTTAAATTCTTCGCTTAGTTATCTAATGGCTTCCGCCTCCTAAGTCGAATCTTGTTCACGACGATAGCATACTGCTGTGACATACCTAGGCAACCTTGGCAGATCAATAATCATCCATCGCCGACCGTACGTTGCATTTCAGCCAAGCAGTCACGGTCCGTTTCAAGGCGAACAACGAAGGCGTCGTGAAACCGTTAGCTTGAATATGTTTACTTTACTGAAGCTGGCACGGAGACGTCCTCTCCGTAGCGCCTGTCCCCCTTTGTGTTAACCCCGCGGGAAGGTCGCAGTAGCGCCATCGCTTATGGCTGGGCATCAGAGGGATGGGGATGCCTCCGTTGCACCACAACATCCTCACCCCATCACTTGTCCATGACACGCCAGCGTGAAAACACTTAGCTCTTAACGAATTGATTCTACTTTTGACCTCCGACATGCATCGAGGCGCTTAGAGCCGATTATCATGCAGGATCAAGCGTCAGCGACTTCTCAGCAAACGCCCCTAGGTTATGCTGTACCATGCGCTCGTGCCAATCCTTCGAGCTTATTCGCGGATAAAACTGCTACTATCAAGATGGGCCCTGTCTACACCTGAGGCGGCCGCACACCAGCGCTCGTTCCTCTATACAGCGTGACCATGCTGATAGTCTTGTGCAGAGATCGCCCAGCGCCTCTGTTGATACCAGCGATCTTCGTTCCAGCATGTGTTGGATGCTGTCTGCTGATATTAAAGATTACCCTTCTAGCACCTAGGCGAGAGGCATACTCGGGAACAGGCGATCCTCTCAAAGCTGATGTGCATTCATTGTAGCAGCCTAGCCGAGGACAGCAAAGTGGATACCCTTGATGGACCAGGATACGTCCCAGGTTTCGGGGCCCCATCAAATCCCCCGCGTTTTACGGCGTCGCCATCTATCAGAAATGTGTTGGGTGGGCGGAGAGCGGCTTTGACTAGTGGCAGCTGCCGTAGAGCGCTCAGAACAATTGACTACGGTCCATGATTCCGAAAGATTCGACTCTCGCTGTACCATACCTCCCAAGCGTGTGGCGTCTGCACGCAAACGGGACGGTTGAGGCTTGTTCAACGTGCTGGAGCCGCTTCCTAATCAGGCCTACGGACCAGAGCCCTCCGTGGCCATTTAGCTCGGAAACATGTTTCCAGAACTGCGACTCCGACGGCACGCCGCTGGGATGCAGCATTAGCCGGACATTGCGGGCCATAGCCCGACATTCTGGCCATTGAAGGTCTACCCTTGTGTATTTCCGATTTTGTTTAATAGCTGAGCTGCATCCGAGTTGTATCCTGCACAGTTCACCTGGAGTATCTCCACCGCAGCAATGTCGGACATCAAGGAGTCTCATGTCACTACAACCTCAGAGCATGGCGTAAGGTCTATCTTCAAATCATGAAATGCTAAGTTTACTTACACCTTAACAGGACCACAAAGGTGCCGTGGCTGATATCGCCGTCATTTCTGGCTCTGAAGCCATAGCAGAGGCCAAGCTGAAGGAGCCTGTAGTTCGTTTCTCTAGCTCTGCCATGCTACTCTACGTCTGCGCATTTGTTGGCTTCTTTTGCTCGACATGTAACGGTTTCGACGGATCCATGTTTAACTCTCTCCTTACCAACAATACATTCAAGGAGTATTACAACGTCGAGAGTACCGGAGCGTGGGCCGGTATTGTCACTTCCATGTACCAGATCGGTGGAGTTGTCGCTCTTCCCTTCATCGGTCCTGCCTGTGATACCTGGGGCCGCAGAATTGGAATGATGATTGGTGGAGTCCTTGGTTGCATTGGAGTAATCATTCAGTCGACTGCTCCTGCTTCCAACCCTGTCGGCCAATGTAAGAGACGCCCATATGAGAAGCCCGCCTTGAATACATACTAACCTCTCGCACCATAATTTAGTCATGGGTGGTCGCTTCCTGCTCGGCTTCGCGGTCCCAATTATGACAACAGCTGGCCCCCTTCACGTTATCGAGACTGCGCATCCAGCTCACCGAGGTGTCATTACTGGTCTTTACAACACTTTCTGGTTCGTGGGATCGCTTCTTGCAGCCGGTGTCACACGTGGAGCCGCAGACCTTGCAGGCAACCAATCCTGGAGGATTCCTGTCTGGCTGCAAATGCTGTTCCCAGCCCTGCTCGTTATACTTCCTCTTCTTCTCCCTGAGAGTCCTCGCTGGTGAGTAGCATATTCTTGCTATGTTTCATGCATACCTAGGTAGAATACATATTGATGAGATCTAGGCTGTACACCCGCGGTAAACACTCCGAAGCCAAGAAAACCCTTGCCAAATACCATGGTTGTGGCAACGAGGACAGTATCTGGGTCTCCATGCAAATCCGCGAGTACGAAGAGTACCTCAACATGGATGGAGGTGACAAACGCTGGTGGGACTACGGCGCTCTTTTCAAGACTCGTCCCGCGCGCTACCGTCTCGCATGCAACTGTATCGTTGCTATCTTCGGTCAATGGGCAGGTAACGGGTAAGTAAACCTCCCAGATGCAGTGTCAGAAGAAACGATGCTGACTTTGATTGTTCTATCACATAGTGCTGTCGACTACTTCATCTCCGGTGTTCTTGAATCCGCAGGCGTCACGGATGAGATCAAGAAAATGAACATCAACTTGGGCAAGAGCTGCATGCAGCTTGCTTTCGTAAGTGAAGTCGCTTAAATATCATTAATCGCTGTACTGATAGTTTGTACGCAGGCTGTTATAGGCGCTCTCTGTGTCGACAAACTGGGTCGACGCCCTATGCTAATTGGCACTTTCTCGACTGTAACCGTTATCTGGGCTGGAGCTATCGGCGCGGTCTCTTACCAGAACAAGACGAACAGCATTCCCGCAGGTAATGCCTTTGTTGCACTGGTCTTCCTATTCAACGCTGTCTTCGCCTTCGGTATCACCCCGCTCCAGGCTCTATATCCCGTTGAGGTGCTCTCATTCGAGATGCGTGCTAAGGGTATGGCTTTCTCCAACTTGTCACTCACAACGGCTATGTTGATCAACCAATTTGCCTACCCCATCGCTTTGGAGAAGATTGGCTGGAGGCTTTACATCGTCTTCGCCTGCTGGTGCCCCATACAGGCCTTTGTTGTCTGGCTCTTCATCCCCGAGACCAAGAACCGCACCCTCGAAGAAATCGACGACATATTCAATGCGCCCAACCCGAGGAACGCATCGCTCATCAAGAAGAAGCTCGCTACTGATGCACAAGGAAACATCCTCGAAGTCGAGAAGATCTAAGTCGCTTGTCACTCAATTTGTCTGTAGACGATACGCATGTCACACCTTTATACAATACTGCAAATTCAATACCGCGGTAGTAGTTATACTCGCTATACTCTTCTCTCAAACTGATGTATCTACCACTGTCTGCACACATGCTCCTTTCCTGGCCCTTGTTCGTATTGAGACGCTCTGTCGTCACTACGTTGAGGAAGGAAACTAAACATCTTATTACAGTAGAGTACTTCTTCCTACTACAACAAATTGTATTAGAGATATATAAACACACATAGAAACTCTAGAAGACTACAATGCTATCAATGTTTACAATCTATTTCATCAGGGGCTGACGTAAGCTGTAAGGAAGCACTTATTATCTCTACCTGTTCAGTTTTTCTTTTGTATATGGTGTCGTCACTCTTCAAGTCTGTTCGCGTCCCGTTTTCACCAGTGATCATGACGTCGAACTGCCGCGTCGCATGATGCGTCAATGTACTAAACTGCAGTCGCGCAGGTTGTGTAGTACAAAGAAAAAGAGAAGGAATAGAACGTAGATTATACACGTGGAAGCAAAGGATCGCCATGATCGCCCGGTGGGGGAAAAAACGTGGATGCCGCCGGACTAACCCAATTCAGCGACAACCACCACCATCACCCCCTCGACCACCACCAGCACCACCACCATGCAAAAAGAAGCTCCTGTCGCAACAGTATGCTATCGTCGTGAACAAGATTCGAACTTGCGAGGCCGAAGCCATTAGATGACTGAACGAAGAATTCAAGTCTAACCCATTAACCACTCTGGCATCACGACTGATGATTCGATGAAAGTTGGTCAAGATGCAAAATTTATATTCCAAGATAACATTCACCAGCTCTGTCAGGAAGATGCTATCTAAACAATTCATCCTGAGGGTGGTGGGGCGCAGTCAAGTCTGGAACGAGTCGCTTATCAAAGTCTGACCATGCCAAACTATGTGTCATTGGAACATCTAAAGGCTACTTTTCCCGCTAAGGGCCCACAACGTATCTCCGCCCACCTTGCCTTCCAGCTTCAGCTTATCAAGGATCTGTCGTATTCCCCTCTCTGCAGGTTCCCATAGACTCTCTGAATAGTCCTTGTATATCACTTTCACAATGTCCATCGAAGTCATCCCAGCTCCGTTGTCCTCTGCTAGCACGTCTAGTACCTGTTTCTCACGCTGCTTGCGATGCTTGATATATTCGGTGATCTTTGATGGGCCGTCTTCGATGACAGGTCCATGGCCAGGATATGCACGACCTCTGAACTGTCTCGACATGGCGTCGAGGCTCTTCATGTACGCTGATAGATCCTCAAATACTGCCGTGCCCTGTCCTAATACATTGTCCGCTGTGAACATGGCGTCTTCTTCCTCCAACACAAATGCCATGTGATCTGTGGTATGCCCCGGACAGAAGAAAGCGCGCAGGGTCGCGCCTTCTGTCTCAAACTTCTGCCCGTCGCTTATGGGTAGCCAGCCATCGTGTGGGTCATTCTTGTAGACTGTCGTGTTTGGAGAGTGCTCGAGGATATCGGGGACGCCTTTGATATGATCGTGATGCCAATGTGTCAAGAGTACTTTGTCAATTGTAATGCTTCTCTGTGAAAGGAGATGTTTGATCGAGGCTATCCATTGCGGCTTGCCTTCACCAGTATCAATGAGGAGTCGTGATGCGCCGCGACCGACTATATACGTGTTTGTGCCTATTATTCTTAGATTCTTATAAGCCTACAGAGCGCAGATGCGTCTACCTTGCAGCGTGAACTTGAAGGTTGTTAGAGTACGCCATGCTTTCAAATGATTAAAAGCGCTTACCTTGCTGGGGTTACCCCCAAGAACTCTAATTACCCGGTCACTAATCTGCTCAACGTCCGGAAGCAATACTTGAGGTTCTGCCATCTTTGAATATAGTCTGCGCGTGCAGGTGGTTGTCAGACATCGCAGTCGCGGGTGCATTGTCGCTCTTACCATGAGCTACAGCCGGACATGACTTACCGAGGCACGGCGCTTATCGATAGTGGGGTACGACTCAGACAGACCATTACTTTTCAGGTGCACTTTGCGACAAATCGCTTTGAGCCAAAATTAGCATGGCATCGATCGAAGACGACGACGAGATCCCGTAGGTTATCCCTACTCGACTCCAAGGTTAAAACACAAATGCTGAAAGATAAAGACAGCTTTCAGGCGATGCTCTTGCCGCCCTAAAGGAATTTTATGGCGAGCGGGACGCACGACAAAAACAGTTCGAAGAACTGAAAGGCCAAGCCGAAGATGACTTCGAGGGGAAACTATCCATGGATGCGTTTACCGAAGACTGGAATGCAAGTCAGTTCTGGTACAGCGACGAAACTGCCATGGTGCTCGCGCGGCAACTTCTGGAGGGTGCGACAGACGAGACAAGGATAGCGGTTGTGTCTGCTCCGAGTGCTTTCATCCAACTAAAGAATCTACTGGTAAGAGTTCAGGGTCAGTGAGAGGCTCGCATGTTGACTTCAGTCCAGAACTCAGGTGAAGTCAAGTGTCGTCCACAGATCAAGTTGTTGGAATTCGACGAACGCTTCGCCGTCTTCAAGGAGTTTGTGCGCTACGACTTCGAGAAGGCTATCCAACTGCCGGCTGAGATGAAGGCTTCATTTGACGTAATCATTTGCGATCCACCATTTCTAAGCCAAGACTGTCAAACAAAAGGTAAGTCTTGTTATCATTTCAGACAAGCGTGGGTTTTATGTCGCTAATGGCACTTAGCTGCGTTGACTGTACGATGGCTCGCCAAGTCCTGGTCGCAAGACTCTCTCCGTCTGATTGTGTGCACTGGAGAGCGTATGGAGAGCTTGATCACAGACAAACTATATGGGAAAGTAGGAACTAAGACGACGAACTACGAGATCAAGCACGCGAAAGGTTTGAGCAACGAGTTCAGATGCTATGCAAATTTTGAGTGCGCATCGTGGAAGTGGGCACAGTCATGACCTGCAAGGATGTGATGCGTTGAAGCTACAAGTGAGAGTGTGCAAACTGTCATAAGTAACAGTAGTATCCGAAAAGACATCTTTTTGTAACTAGAATATCTCAAGTCAAGCAAGGCGGAACCGTCCCGCCAAAAAGCTACCCCACATGTCCTCAGTCAACCCCACTTGGCTCGCAACAAGCTCCCTGCGTCATCCTCACTGCTCTCTCCAATCCACACTCGTACCAATCAACCAACACTCCCAATCCGAGAGTACCATAATGTCTTCTGCTGCATGCATCTTTTGCAAGATCATCAAGGGTACTCTCTGCTTCCCTTGACCCTTGTCTCATTCAACAATGGCTAACGGAATGGCTAGGCGAGATCCCTTCGATGAAGATCTTCGAGAGCGAGAAGACACTTGCTTTCCTTGACATCGGCCCATTGAGCAAGGGCCATTCGGTGTGTAATCTCGCTTTTTCTAACTCACTCCATGTCCCTGTACAACAAACACTATTCCATTGATGCTAATGTTCCTGCTAGCTAATCATCCCCAAACATCATGGCGCAAAGCTTCACGACATACCCGACGACCAACTGGCCGAAGTCCTGTCCGTCACGAAGCGCATTGCCATCGCTCAAAACATCCAAGACTATAACATTCTGCAAAACAATGGAAGGATTGCGCATCAAGTTGTGGATCATGTGCATTTCCACCTCATTCCCAAGCCAAATGAGCAAGAAGGGCTGGGCATTGGCTGGCCAACCAAGGAGGCGGACAAGGGCGAGCTAAGCAAGCTATTGGAGGAGATCAAGAGTAAGATGTAGAACGTAGCGTGTAGCCTAGGACTTGATAATGCAGAAATGAAGCATGTCGGCTCAGGCTAGGTGCGCAAGTGTCGATACTTGATCGCGACACAGCCAATATTTGTTTACTCGCCCTTGAAAACAGGCTTCCTCTTCTCCCTAAATGCGAGAAGCGCCTCGTCGCGATCCTTTGTCCTGACTACAAGCTCATATGCAGCATTCTCGGCCTTCTCGCCCAGCGCACAGCCCTCCACCGCTTGAAGCGCAGCCTTGATCGCTATCGGCCCACCTTCGCATATCTCCCTTGCTAGTCTTACAGCTTCGTTCAAGACCTTCTTTCGCGCAGCACCTTCTTGCTGTACGTCTTCGGCAGTTATCTCCACTAACCGGTCACACAGCCCCAGGAAATAGGCTTCCGGCGCTGCTACACGGCGGCCTGTCAATATCATGTCCCGTGCACGTGAAAGACCGATCAAAGCAGGGAGACGGTATGTCCCTCCTGCGCCAGGAAGAATAGCGAGACGAGTTTCTGGGAGAGCGACGGTGGTGCTAGAGGCAAAGACGCGCATGTGTGTTGTAAGGGCTAGTTCGAGGCCGCCACCGAATGCTGGTGCTGCCAATGCAGAGATTGTAGGAATCGGTAGTTGTGAGATCGATGCAAATGTTCCCCGTAACGTAGTTAGAAAGTTGGATGTTCTAATATTTTGTTAGCTGTTACTCTTCCCACGTATATGGCTGAACATACTCTTCCTGCGTAAATGTAGCCCTCTCCTTTAGATCTGCGCCCGCACAGAAACTCGTGTCGATATCGCTCGCCAATATCAACGCCCTGGTTGGCCCGTTGTCACCCTCATTGTGTATGCTGTTTACTTGATGGCTCAAATCCGCGAGCAATTGCCGCGATATCGCATTACGTGCCGCAGGTCGATTCAGAGAAAGTATACGTATGCTTCCACAGTGTGGTGCTGGGACGTTGGTGACGTTGATTGCCGGTGCTTGGGCGGTTGCATATGTGCGGCTTTGAAGGGCACGATGTAGGACGCGGGGGCTGAGACGGAATGAGGGCATTTCGATGATGTCTACGTTGTGTATGCGACCGCAGTAGTACAGTACAGTTCACGCCCAGATATGCTGGTGTTCAAAGCTACAGTGTCGTTGTTGTGGGGATGTGGTTTGGCGACCTCATAGTTGTAGACCGCGGTTAGCCGAGGCAGCTTTCCGCCGGGGCGGCCGCGCTGCAATGTTGTAACTGCATTTTAGCATATCCATCACATTGGCTTGATCGTTGTTACGGCACGACAGTCGATATCCCATCACAACCGACTCATCGTTTTCAGAGATCGCCATTTCTTCGTACTCATGTATTTAAACGGCACGCCTAGCTATCTTATATGAGATTGGGATACTGCCTGCGCAGCCTGAAGCTCAGTCACCACTTGACCATTGGCCGAATTCGTCTTACAAACATCCCACATATCGATGCAGGTACCTGAGTCCCTGTCATCATTGGTAGCTTAGGCACCCTGCACCTTACTTGGGTCATTCCAGACAATAGGAAAGTTTTCAACCGGGTATCCTTTTCGACAAAATCATCATCCCAGAACAAGGATGTTGTCCAGTTTGTCACTTCAAGTCAAAGCTGTGGAGAAGCATAGTTGTAGTACACATGGGCGTGGTATCGAATCAGCTGCGAGCCTTGAGCTGCCTGTCGCCGCGTGCATTCGCTCCATTGCTGCTGGAAGTGTCACGTAAGGCAGGTCCAGCCGATGCGCTCATAGCACCCCGCCCCGCATGCAAGGGTCCGTTAGCCCAAAGTTTCGACAGGAAACATTTGCGTCACGTACACCACCGCCACAATATTGCTGTCAACATGGAGTTTCAGAGAGGAGAGCGCGTGAACTTGAACTTTGATACCGGCGCAGTCGAGAAGCTGGATCAAGAAGAGCAGCATGAGCTCCGCATGCCGTCGTTCCCTACCTTCGTGGGCGACATTCAAGAGCGCGATTCATCACCAGCTAATCCTCCAGTTGCGCCCTCGCTCAAACCGAATGTGAATGGGTTTCCGGCGCACAAAAAACGCGTACCGAGAATGTCGGCCTTCAAACAGCAGCGCGCGGCCAAAGACCAGCAAGCTGCGGCGGCACCAAAAGCACCTGCGAAAATGCAAGATGCGCCCAAACCACGAAGCGCATTTGGGCTTGACCGGGACGAGGAGAGACGAGCGATAGACGAAGAGAATAGGCAGACACTAGCGGGCATGTCAGATGCAGAGATTGAGCAGGAACGGCAAGAGCTCATGTCGAGTCTCAATCCAGCATTACTGCAGAAGCTGCTCATGCGGTCCAACATTGATCAAGGGAGCAACGAGCGCGACTTTGATACAGAGCCGCCAGAACCAGCAGCCGTTGCACCCCTCTTGACTGACCAAGCCAAGCCAGAACCTCAGCCCCAGACCCCAAGTACGAAGAAGGTCTCCTTCGCTGCCCCAGAGCCAACAAAGGAAGCAACGTCACAACCAGCACCGAGTCTGATACCCGCCACACAATCTTCGCCAGACGACGACACCGCATCGGCAGCTGTTCCGGATGCCGCAGACTCAATACACTTCCCACGACCTCCACAACCGCCCGACCTCGACCCAAACGATCCCTTATTCCTGAAAAACCTACATGAGAAGTACTTCCCCACGCTACCCTACGATCCCTCCTCGCTATCATGGATGTCGCCAATTGACCCGTCCGATACCAAATCTCCTTACCACCCCTCTCAAACCGCCCTGAATCCGGCAGAACTGCGCTTCGACTTTTCTGGCAATTTGCTAGCACCTAGCGTCGCACGAGATATACCTACCGACAGGGGCCTTCACCATCACGCCGAAGCCCCAGAGGCAGCAGGATACACAATACCAGAACTGGCAGTCACAGCGCGAAGCAAAGTGGCAAGTCAACGATGTATCGCATACCAAACGCTAGGTCGTATCCTATACAGACTAGGCAGAGGAGAATTCGGCGTTGAGAGCGTGGAACAAACGACGGACGGACCAGCAAAAGTAGCCAAGAATCCAGAGGTAGTAGAAGACGAGGATGGAGAGGAGTGGGTAGAGGAGGATATTGGCAGTGCCATGGCAGGGGGGCTGTGGCAGTGCATCGAGCAAGGAAGGGTGATTGAGACGTTGACTGAAGAGGCCAACAAGGAGAGGGGTCATTTGACTGCACGCACTTTTGCTCAGGAAGCGCTGTGGAATTGGCGAAGAGGCGGAGGAAGGAAGAGACAAGCTGTGTGAGCTTCCTGTGCCGCTACGGTGATGACGAGTAAAAACACGTCGTATGCATGCAACAGAATACATCAGCCTTCACCGGGTCACAAAAACAGTGCCCGTCACTATGCATTATCCTAATTCTATTTGTGAGCCATTACCAATGCTAGTGCCAATGCAAGCACAATTCGTTAGTCATGCCCTTCAACACAGTTGCATACGCTCAGCGTAGCCCGGTTTGCACAGTACCGATGTTCACCTCTAGTCAATCAATCCCACTGGATCTATCATTGATCCCAACTTCGCTTTTGCCTCTCTTAGGTGGAGATTCCAGACGTGCGCCTACTCTCTTCTCCTGAGGAGTAGTCAAAGGCTCATCCTGGAGTACCAGATCCATGCTAATAGAACAGTCAAGATCAGCAAACAGGAGTAGAGAGAAGGGGGGAAAAGGAGCAGGGGCTCAAAAGAAAAGAGCTTACTCCTTCTCCACGCCCTCAATGACAGGTACATCCTTCAGATCTGCCGGTTCAAGCGCCGGCATGGCATCGTCGGCAAACACAGCATCCTTCATCTCGACATCCGCCGGTACATCCTCCTCGGGTTTTTCAGGTCGACGACATACAGCCTCAGTGTACTCGTCCACGAGATCAGCTCTCACGTACACCACACCTGTGCTGACCTTCGGTCGGGATCCTTCCTCCTTGTCGAGCACTATACCCTCCTCTACAACAGGATCTACTTGTTCGTCGTTGTAGACTCTCCAGTCGTTGTTCTGGAAGTCGTAGATGTAGATCCAGTAATGGCCACCTTTAACATCGCCGCGGTGGGTGAAGACAGCATGGAGACGGTAGGGAACAGAAGTGCAATCTTTGAAGACGGTGTTGATTCCCGACTCCAGAGTTGTCATCTGGCCATCGATGCCCGACAGATCGGCGGCGAGGTTGGTGGCCCGAGTTTGAAGGGCGTCACAGAGTTCGGGAGGTGGAGTAGGCAAAAAGTCTTGCCTCGATGATACTGGCTCATGCTCTGCCTTCTCTGTGGCGAGACTTTCGACAAAATCGCCCGCTGCCTTCAGACAGTCAGGTAGGTTCATGCCTTCCATGCCTGTTGTCTGTAGCTTTGTTCGTTTTGCGTCTAGCTCGCGCAGCTCTTTCTGTTTTGCCCATTGCGCTTTGCGAAGTTCTAGCAATTGTGCTTCATCTAGTGTTGGTGTTCTCGCCAAGTAACGATCTAGATACATGGTCTTCTCTAGACCGATATGCGAGTGATCGTATACAGGCTGGCCCTTGTTGAATTGCAATCGTTTCACGTTGATGATCTGAATGGGCGCGGCCTGTTCGACGTAATCGTATCTTGTGCCACTGCCACCTTCTATCTCACCTAGCCCGAAATCTTCGTCAAGGGTAGCATAGAGTGAGCGATCTCGTTGTCCAGTAGCCACGAGGAAATGATCTCGGAGCTCCTGGACTTTCTGTACACCATCTGGTTTCTCCATAACTGTGGTGACATCACCAAAGAATAGCTTCTTGATGGCGTCTCCTTGCTCACCTTCTCGTAAAATACTATCGCCCGTTATGGCGCAGGAGATGAGGTCAAATATGTTGGCCATGACTTCTGCGGCGTCCTGCTGCCGAGCGCTCTCCTCAATTCTACCAATCTTTGTACTTGATTGAACAGCAGGCTTCATGGCCGGCTTAGGGTCTGCTCGTGGCGGAATTGGGGGAGGTCGAGTCGGTGGAGCGGGTATGTCGCTCTCGCTCTTGCTTGCTGAACCATCATCGGCCATGACCAAATCAGCAGGTGTAATCGGGGCTGCATCGGTATCATCCATGACGGAGTCCGCAGGCTTTGCCTCATCGCTATTCACGACTGAACCTGCCGGAGCTTCTGCGGGGATTGACTGCATTGCCGCAGGTGGTAACATGGGTCCGCTGACCACTGCTCCGTCGATGGTACCTAAACCAGTGCGATCGGTAGTGTCCATTGACGGTGACTGTGCCGGTTCTACAGGGTTATCCGATTTGCAGAGTGCGAGAGAAGCAAGATCTATCGCAGGCTGTACCGTCTCAGTTGGAGCGGTCGTCATTTGCTCGAAGAGAGCCCGTAACTCACGAACGACTATCCAAAGTTAATCTTAATTTGCGCAAAGGGAGGTTTATACTGACATTTCTGTGCCGTCAGAACCCTTTCGGCTGTGACGAGCATGCGCCCAACTTTCTTGTTATTCAATGCTTCTGGGGAGGGGTCTTGCATATGCTTTTCAATATCGAGAATAAGATCTCTTAGAGGCTTGATAGTGAACAAGAATTGGAGTACGCTGTTCAGGTAGCAGGTATTGCCGATGTTGCGAAGCCCGACCGGCCATTTCTCGAGAGGGTACAGATTTCGTCTGAATTCTGAGCGTTTCGGGTTGACATGGTTGTCGCCAAATCTTTGAGACTGGTCGTACTGGATGAGAGCGTGCGCTTTCTCCATTCTTAATCTTTCACTTGTGCCGATTTCGTATGTGCTAAGAACAGATTCTAGAACTGCAGGATCAAGCGGGACCGTTCTGTCTGTTTGGTCGAAGAGGGCGTATGCGTCACCTATGTCCATTTCAGGATCGCTCATCGTCCCGAATTTGGCAAAATGGCGTAGTCGTTCGCTGTTGCGCGTCTCTGCTATAATTTCCACAGCCTTTCTGGCAGTTTCTATGCTTGAAGGGTTGTCTTGAGTCTAGTTTGCGCGTCAGCATTCGTTCCAGACGACAAGCAGTCCATGTAGGGATCCGTGTACAGTACCTTAAGCGAATACATGGTTGGAACGAAATCGTCAGCTACGCTAGGATCAAGGTCGAAGAAAGCCATCGCTTGTTCGTACGTCTCGATAGAGCCCGAAGCTTCTGCTCGTATTTTATCGCTCTCACGCACGTCTCCCAGAACTCGTAGTTGCTTTCGCGCCTCCTCGGCTTGGATAACGCTGACATCGGCTAGGCGGGAACGGAAACATCCAATGATGTGATCGTCGCCTATTACGCTTGCGTGTGTTGGGTCGATACCAAAGTATTGATATGCGCGCTCGGCCTCCCGTTTGCTTGTGAGACCCTGTGAAGCCAACATAGCTACTTGCATCCCGAGCATGTCACTTTGGCGACCGGTCGCGAGATCCTGCAAGCATTCAAAGTAGTACGCCTTGTTCTCGATGTCAACGGCGCCTTGTCGAGAGAAGGCGAAAAGGATCAAGGAGTCGTCAAAGTCTCCAACGGCACCCAGACTAGCGTAGTAGCTATTCCCTGTCAGTAATCAGAGGACTGGTGAAGGTGAAGGCGGGGCACGTACGGATGATCTTCTTCGTGGTTTGTACTGCGTGTCTCCCGTTCTTTCGCCTTGGCATCTGTGCAGCTTGTCAGTATCACATTGTGCAACGAGCGGCGCGTATAAGGACATACAATCCGCACATGCTAATGCCCTTTCCATGTCGCTACGTGACGGCGTAGGATACATTGGTTGATGTCTACAACCCACGCGTTCACTCTCTGGCATGTCCAATATTATGGTATTCAATTCATAGCGAGCGTCCTCGATCTTGGAGCGCAGCGTCGATTCGAGAGGAGATGCGGGTTCCTCGGGCTTAGGAAGATACCAGGCTTCTACAAAAGTGTCCTCCTCTTCTTCCTGGTGTTTCTCGAAGCCCAGACGTCTCAGTATCGAGTCACAATCTTTACCAAAAGTCTTGAGAAACTTCTTGTTTAACAGCGGGATGCGCGCCTTGCCCTTTGCTGGTTTTAACGAGTCCTGCAGGTATGTGTTCAGATAATCAGGAGCATCGACCCTCCGTGCCATGCTTGTATCTGCTCGGTCGCCGGCGATCTGTTTCGCTGCTTCCCATCGCCTTCTAAGTTGAGCTTGGTTCGTCAAGGTCTCAATGTCGTGCTCCGAGAAGCACGGCGGTTTGATGCTGATCCGTACCTGGACCGAACATTGTGGGGCAGAACAGCGAAAGATATAGGTACGCGGCCGTAGCTGAGCCTCGAACCTGGCCGTGCTGTTTGCGTCATCCTCTCCTTGGTAGAGAAAGTGGTGCAGGGCATAGTCCTCGTTTCCCTTGCCACACGACTTGACTTTGGCAGCATCGATGCGATGGTCGACGAGTATATCGACATGCCAGCGACACTTGATGCAGTAAGAAGCGACCTTGTATACGGTACTCGAGGTTGGATCTTCGCCTGGCACGGGTAACAGCGACTGCTCGGACTTGGTAAACAGGTTGTGACGGCAGTTTCTAAAGGGCACGGCGGGGACTGGCGGGGCTTTGCTGTCGTGTTGCGGCGGGGGGCTGGTCAACAAGTTCCGACCGGCGCGTTCTTCGTGTCGTGGGTCGTACGTGAAGAGATCCTGGAGCAACCGCGGCGCCGTCTTGCCTGGAAGCCATAGTTAGCACACGCTGGTGGCACAAGAGTGGAAAAGGTACCGGGCGCCATGTCTGCTGGGGGTGATAGCGGGGAGCAGCAGTGCAGCTTGTGTTATGGATGATAGAAAGCGAGGTGGAGTAGGACAGCACAGCAAGCACGCACGGCGATATGGGTGGAGAAGGGCGAAGAGAGGTTGCCAACGTGCGACTGAAGCGTTTACAGCGAGGGCATCGCGGGCGGCAACCGCCTAGCATACACTATATTGCTAGGTTCCAGAAGGAACGGAACAACTAGCCCGCGTGGACGAAGTTTCCACTCCAAGGGCTATGCATGGTAGAAAGTAAAACCATAGAGGCACAAGCGGCGAAGCAAACAGCCTCGCGGCAGTCCATGCGACAGCTCAAGGCGACGCGGCGCGCGATGATGCAGTGCCCGCCCGCCGCCTGAGCCCTGAGCGCCAAGACGCTTACCGTCTGGCGCAACTTGCCGCAGCCGACTTCACCAACGTCTATAGAGCTTCCAAGTCGACACCCACGCCCAATCCGCCCGCCATGGCCGACCAACACGTCACCTTCCACCCCCGGGACGCCCTCTCCAACACGGCGAGTACCACTCTCCAGACCACGGCTGTCGGCGCCGTCGTTGCCGGTGTTCAGAACACACTACGGAAGCAGAATGTCGGAGCCATGGGCATCCTCACCCGCTCGGGAGGCATAATCGCCCTATACGGTCCGTAGCAGGCCAATTGCACGCAAATCCATCACGATGAAGCTAATTGACGTGCAGCTGGTGTCGGAGCCGCCTATCAATTCACACTCGACGCGACCAGCAACCTGCGACAAAAAGACGACTGCTACAGCGAAGCAGTTGCTGGTTTCGTCGCTGGATGCGGTGTCGGTGTTGCCAGTACGCATATCCGAGACTCGTGCATGGCCTGGTACTGACAGACTACAGGACGGAGCCTTCCCTTCATGCTCGGTGCCGGAGTATGCTTCTCCACCGCCCTCAGTGCCTACCGATACGCCAATGGTATGCGCGGTGTCGGAGACATCCGCGACCAGGTCGATGACGATGGCGAGGTCGAGCGCAGGGAGGAGCTGAAGAAGGTGCGCAGGCGGCCACTATCCGAGACGCTCCAGCAACTGGGCGAGGGACGAGGTATGTTGAAAGGTGGGCAGCACACGCTCGCTGAGACTGACTCTCCTAGGAATCTATGGCCCCGGCTACGAGGAGAGGAGGCGGCAACGACTGTTGGAGAAGTACGGCATCGACGTCAAGGCAGAGCAATAGTCGGCTTGAAAGCAACAAACCTTTTCTTGGAGTTTACCACAACAAATACCTCATCACAAACACCTGGGCTACATCTGGCTCGTGTATATACTATCTCGACAATCGAATTGTTCATCAAGATCGTGGCATTGTCTCTTACGCATGTGGTGGGAGGAAGTCTCTCAGTCTCAATGTGGACCAAACAAAACCCCAATAGGCTCTGTTATGAATTGGCGAATACTCTGAACACTGATATAATGAGCCATGCAGCGCGGGCTGTGTATAAGCTTGAGTTTCAGCTATCCGCTCTGTTCAAGGACAATTGGTCAACGAGAAGAAGGCGCGCGATATTGTGTGATGTTCAGATAGCTCTTGTCGATTTTCGGTCTAAATCTACTCATTTGGGACAACAGCCTTGCTTCTGCTATCGGTGACAACATACTAGATGCTATTGGTGAAATGCGGGGTAGCGTGCATCCCACCAGTTCGACCATATCGCGTATCTCGGTCCTTACCTTAAATATGCTCGCTACTACATTGTTCTCGAGAAGAGAAAAAAAAGCTCCCTAGAAGATCATTTTATCACTGAAATTGAGTAGGAATCCAAGTCGCAGATCATGTAGACCAGCGTGTTGCATGATGATGATGTTTTTGTCGCGCTCAATGCGCGTCTCTTCTCCCAACCCCACCAAACCACCTCATGACGCGTGAACCTCTCCCAAGACTCCTCAAGGTCCAGCGCATTTGGTAAAGCGGGTAACGATAACTTGAAGTTCTAGCGTCTTCGAGTCAATCAAGCTGAATCGCGATTGAATCTCATGCACAATGGCCGAGTCCAACCTCAAAGAGACCTTCTATCGCCAATTCCACCAGGATGTCGCAAGTGCGTAGTTGTAATCAATAGCATTATATACACTAGAATAACACATACCAGCGCTCCAAAGGCAAATCGAAAGCTTATCCTCCCTGTCGACATCTGGTGGCGAGCGCAATCAAGCGATAGACGACTGCCTCGCAGGCATAGATCGATTATCCCACGATGTCCAAGACGCGTCAAGTCTTCTACCCGCGTATGACCAGCGGACATATAGCGAGGTGAGTTCTTATGAAAAAGTTTGAGAATGGGAAGATCGAGCTGACGAGAGAGTATAGACCATCAAGAAGTTGAGTGAGAAGTTGTCAAGTATGAGGAACAGCTTCGATCCACCCAAGAAGTTCAGTTTCAAGAGCAAGAAGAAGGATATCATGAAACCAGAAGCTAAACCGGAAGTATTGGATACATCGAGTGCGAAGTCGTCTTCTCTACTTGAACAACAACCATCGCAACCATCGCAACCATCGCAACATCAAGAAACGGCGCAACAGGATTCGTTCACGTCGACCCTCTCCCACAAGTCGCATGCCCGTATAACTCTCGCTCAAGTCCCTTACGCCACAAGCTCACCAACGGTTTCCCATCTTGCCCACTGTGTCGTCGATCTTAGCGCTCCAACAAAAGCCGACGCACCCTTCGCCGCTCTTTACCTCCGCTCCATAACCTCCTCGCTCATCATTACCGGCCAAGTCGCAGGAGCAATCCACATCACAGACGTCTCCAACAGTGTCATAGTAACAGCGTGTCGACAGTTCCGTATGCATGGCAGCAAAGACGTGGATGTGTATCTGCATAGTACTAGTCGACCAATCTTTGAGGATTGTGAGGGCTTGAGGTTCGCACCATTACCTGATTCCTATGTGAGTCCGTCTTTTGGAATTTATAGCCTTTGTTCATATAATAGCGCTAACGATCGTGTAGAAGACACCAGAGGTCGAGCAGTCAGCCAACCAGTGGAATCAGATCGATGACTTCAAGTGGTTGAAGGCCGAGCCAAGTCCACATTTCAACATACTCCCTGCAGCTGAACGTGTTTCTGAGGAGGTTTGGAGCAGAAAGATACCTGGTAACGATGAGAGCCTAGATGGTACCCTGCAAGCTGTTGGTATACGGTGTCGATAAATGTTGTCTAAGACAAACGACTATACAGTCAAACTTCAAGACAAAGAAAGGTTTAAGGGATATAAGGACTACTTTACCCGTAGATAGAACATTACAACTTATCTCAATACACTTCAGTTAGTCAATTATTCAACAATAAATGACCAAATGGTCATCCAATTTCCCGTCAAGCCACCAGTATCTGCCAGGCAGATTGTTCTTCACGAAATGCCCTCATCAAGATTTCACAATAAATAGAAGATGTTTTTTGACGGCCGTAGTGAAAGGTGCTGTATATTGTATGCTGATCTGTTGCGGCCGTGTAACTGGTAGTACATGTGAGGAAAACCCTGCCTAGCTAAGGAACTCGCCCTAAAAAGATCATACCATCACCCTTTTGCCCGAAAAAAAAAACCACGATAAATATGTATAAAGAGCCAGAATGCTGCATGCTAGACGCGATGCGCGATGCAAGAATGCCCACCAGGCCGACCTACCACACCAACAGCACACTTCTGTTGTGACGGAGACCAGTTTGCGCGAAAGAGATAACTCACTGGCTCATGCGAGATGAACGAAGACGAGAGCGACGACGATTGCTGTGAGAGAGCTCTTTCCGACACCGACGATATGACCGGTGTTGATAGGGACTTCGATATAACTGGGAGAGGGCGCAATTATCGTACCGTTGATGCCGCCAGATGGGTGTGGGTAACTAAGAGACTGGTTAGTGGATGTTCAAGGGTACAAGGAGACTGCAAGACATACCCGGATCCGGAGGGATAACCAGAAACACTTGAAGGGAAGCTTGTCGCTACAGCCTGTGTGTCCGTGTTTGTGTTGTTGCCAGCCCCATTTGAGGAAGGTCCTGCAGTGACGTATGAGGTGAACGTTTGCGTCTGATAGCTCGTAATCCTAATCGTGCTATCGGTGACGGTAGATTCAGAGCCTGCTGAGTGCGAGGGGTTGGGGCAACCAGATGTCGCAGACGTTCTAGCCGGATATGTACCAGAGCCAGTACCCGAAGATCCTGATGCAGTGCCGGATGAAACAAAGTACCTACCTGATGAAGGCCCAGCCGATGGGCCACCAGACGGAAAAGAGGTGGGCACAGCATCCGTCTCGGAGCCTGTGAGGAGCCTGCTTGAGGAAGGTCCAGCAGAGCTGGCACTTGGCAAAGAGGCTGTGGGAGAAGAAGGTAGAACAGCAGTGCCCGAGCTTGTCAGTACGTCTGAGCTACCCGGTGGCACAATGTATCCACTCGAAGACAGACCAGCAGGGCTTGAAGAGATAGCCGATTTGCTTGATGACATTGCATACCCGCTTGAAGATGGACCTGTGGGTAACGAGACTGTGAAGGTAGTCGGTATGGTACCTACGTAAGAGCCTGACTGTTTAGTCGAGATGCTGGAAGGAACGTTGTATCCACTCGACGATGAATCAGTAACGGTAGCACTGAGGGAAGTAGGCACGGCATCTGTATTGCTACTAGGTGGGGTTGCTGAGCTGGAGGGAGCATAGCCTGGCGTCGAAGGAGTAACCGAGTTACCGGAACTGGGTCCCAGAGATGGAGTGACCAACGAGGTAGGTACTGCATCGGTGTTGCTGTAGGATGGAGTTGCTGAGCTACCAGAGGGAACAGAGCCCGGGTATGACATAGATGAGACCGCTGAGCTACTGGGAACCACAGGAGCTGGGATCGTGAGCGATGAGACCAATGAGCTATCAGGAGGTGCAACGTATCCAGTCGAAGAGCCGGTAGGACTGAGTGTAGTTGGTGAACCGGAATAAAACGAATTGACGACATCTAAGGTGGTAGATGAAGGGATCACAATGACAACGCTTGACCCAGGATACACAGACGTAAGGGTGACAACGACAGGGCCGTTGTAAGACTCCGACCGAGTGATTACGCTCACACTAGGCACCGTGACATAGGCGCTTGAGGAGACGTCCGTTGGCAGTGCGCTTGACTGAGGAGCAGAGCCACTGAGATATTCGGAACCGGTAGGAGAGATCGAAGACCCAGGAATGGTGCTGACAGTGATGCCTGCAGACTCGGTGGGGTATGTAGAGCTAGCAACGGATGAAGGATTAACTGTAGTCGCAGGTGGTCCATACCCGGGAGGTGTGGATGAGAGAAGACAGATTGTTGTTGTTGCAGTGACATAAACGACGGATGTCTGGGCAGTTGTAGTATAAGGAGGGCAGCTCGCGATATCCGTGCAGATCTCGGAGACTAGATGAGTTGACGTGACCATAACGACCATGGAGTGCGTGTCTGTGAGGGCGCGCTGGACATCTGTTCACATGTCAGGGTTACCTGATCGTTCAGGATCGCCAGATCTGGCTTCGAGGAGCGCGCTACCCTATTGAGCAGCAATGCTGACTAGAAGATGGCATGGAGGAAGGGTATGACTTACGAGGAGCTGCAAGAGGCTGGACTGCGAGAGCAGTACCTCCGAAGATAGCGGCAAGCTGAATGATCTTCATGTCAAGCGTCGGGCTGGCAGCTGAGGCGAGGTTGGATAAGGGAGTGCACCTGATGAGCAAGATGATCAAAGGGCCAGATCAGTTGCTGAAGGAGGGCGATGATGGTTGTGGCAAGCGAGTGTAGGAGGTTTATGTGGGCAGAAGAGAGATGATAAACACTGGGCGATGGACTATATCAAGGGAGGCACGAGTGCCAAGGGATGGGCGACCTCTGTGAAGCTTTGAGGTTAGGGAAGGTGCTCTCAGATCACAACAAACAAGTCCAAGTGGCAAGGGAAACAACCCTCGGAGGCCACTGGGATGATGTAAAACTACAGCAACGTCACGAGATAACCTTCGGCAGCTCCAAGCGCAATCGCAAGAGACCAGTTTTTCACTTCAAGGCCGAGTGAGGCCAGAATCGCAGATATGCCTAATAGACGACTCACGATGCCGTCCGAACACGCTATTGTGGGAGATCGGGGTCAACAACATGGAGTATGAGATTGAAAGAATGAGATTCTACATGCGGGTATACTATAGCTAGTCATCTTGATGCTTTTACCTCCTAAAAAAACGCCCGAATGCACCCATCCGTATATGAACACCTCAAGGCCTAGCTTGATGCTAAGCTCTATTGACGTGTCGGTAGATACGCACCACCGGCAAGGACCAAATTCATCCGGGTGAACTGTACCTTATACACAGGACTGTCTTTAGTCGGAAAGACGCTGATCTGGTCCGCCGACACACCTGCCTCCTTGTTGGCCTTCTTCCCCGTGACTGTGGTGCCACTTGCGCCCTTGGTCGTCATGGCGCCATCTGCCTTCGCAGCCACACCGTCAGCAGCCTTATCGCTAGTCTCTTGCAGTACATCCCAAACACGAACTGTCTTATCCGCACCGGCTGAGACAAGAACGCTCGACTCCACACTCCAAGAAAGCGACCAGATCCCGCCTTTGCCATGTCCGCGCATGCGCTTGCGTCTTCGCCCAGTTTCAAGAGTCCAGAGGATAATGTTGCCAGCATCGTCAGCGGATGCTAGGGTTCTGCCGTCAGGAGAACAGGCTATAGCAGTTACATTGCCTGTATGACCAGTAAAGAGGCGCAGGCAATTACCACCGGCGATGTGCCACATGCGCACCGTGCGGTCGCAAGAGCCGGTAAATACGTAGAGATTGTTGGGATGGAAAGCAACGCAGTCAACGTCGTTGTCGTGGCCAACATAGATGCGTAGAGGTTCAATGTGATCTGTTGACCACAGACGCGCAGTACGATCGTTCGAACCAGTGAGGAAATAGTGTCCATACGGTCCCCATTGCAGGTCCCAGACAGGATTGTCGTGTCCGCGATACGCTACAAGACAGGTGTATGTATCTAATGACCATAGCCTGACGGTCTTGTCTTCCGAACATGAAAGGAGGCATTCTGAGTTTGTGGGCGGGCCAGAAGGATACGGATTTGCTGTGGAGGGTGAGAAGGCCACCGCAGTAACAGGGCCTGAGTGGCCAACAAGCCGCCTGGAAGACGATGGCTGAGCGTCTGGGTTGTCGTTCGGAGAGGTGAGAGGACTGCCGTCCATGGACCAGACGCGGATGTAGGACTCGTTCATGCCGGCTGCGACGAGCTGGTTGTCACCAGAGAAGTCGATACAGTTGATACTGTTACCGCGTCAGTCATTAAATTTCAGAGGGGTATAATGAGTTGACTGACCTGTCATACGTGTTATGAAAGGTGTACATGGTCACGCTGACAGCGGGACCAACACCGCCTGTTCTGCCTTCCATCTTGTAGCGATCTCGGTGCTCGATGATCTTCTGAACCTCCATAGAGACGTCGCGCGCTAGAGAGGGAGGCAAAGGAACAAACTCGCGCGAAGGCCCGTCTTCTGTTGGTTCCTGTTTTATGCGTTGCTCAAACTCCTCTACCAGACTTGGTTGTCCTGGTCTTGGCGCATTTTTAGCGTCCTCGTCTTGTAGAGCTGCTCGGACGTCTTCCTGCAGATCTGCCTCCTGTGGGTATGCTCCTAATTGTAGCCTGATTCGGGCAGCTTCCGCTTCGGGATCGTGGCGCGCAGTAAGAGGATGACCTGGGGCGTGTCCTGGAATACCTTCATCCTCCGCTGGGAGCTCGTCTTCGCCATGTCCACTCGCAAGAATTGCTGCAATGCTTTTCTCGGCGGTGGCCGTCCGGTCGACAGTGACGATGTTCAGGTGTTCCCGGATCACGTCTATTATTGTCGCACCACCGTCAAAATGCTTGGATTCGAGAAATTGAATGAGGTTGAAGAATGGCATCGTCGTTAGCGTGATCCGGTATTTGTTGTCGATGTACAGCTTCGCTATTCGACTCTCCTGCAGATGTGCTTGTAATCGCACTTGGCGAAGTGTCTTGATGTCTTCGTCGTGGTCGCGCTCAAAGAGGCCCTGGTACGTCGCAAAAAATGTTTCCGCGTCTTTCGTGTAAAAGTCGCGCACCAGGTCCAGAAATGAGTACACAAAGACGGGCCACAGCAGCTTTCGCAACTCTGGTCTATACAGGTCCAGGTTATCTTCGGTGTATTTGCGTAGAAGCTCGAATGCTTTTGTATATTTCGCGCCGCCTGCTTCGGTACTCTGCGCCGTGAGCGGCTGGCCGTTGGTCTGCGGTTCAGACTCCTTGCGGAGCATCGCCTCGGTGCGAACATAGCCTTTTTTTGAGAGGTACTCCAAGACCTGTACAAAGGTTAGCAACGACACGCTCCAAGGTACAGTCATCCCCAGGTTGGAAGCAATTAATGCTCCAAGTGCGCAGTACCATATTGTTGCTACTGGAATTCGCCGCATGGGCCTGGCTGTGCAACGATGCGCTCATATTTGACTGTCGTGACGTTGCTGGTCAGGGTGCAAAGCAGAACGCGCGAAGCTGGAAACCTGTCGCAGTAGAGAAAAAAGGTTGTGGTAGATATGTAGTGATAATGTGCGTGCAGAATGAGAGCTGAGCGGCGTACAAGGTGGAAGGAAGCGCAAGTCAAGAATATAGCCAAGGACAGCTTTCTTTCACCAAACGCGACATCCAGAACCAGCTGTAACAATGCGCTCTCACTCTTCGTAATTGTACAGGCACCACAATAGCAGACGACGTGATGATAGGAAAAAGAGCTGTACCCACAATCTGGTTCAAGTTCTGCTGGGACTGCGGCCCTGAGGCACCTGGCGGTGGAGGACCGCCTTGTGGAGGCATGGCGTTGTGTGGTGGTAAACCTGCGCTGGGTGGTCCATTTCCTACACTCATTTGCCTTACAGGCCCGGGCCCTTGCGGGGGCCCTGACATGGTTGTGGTGTTGCTCCTTCTCTTCTATATTGGCAGATGGCTGCTCTTTCACCTCGAGGCTGGGTGGAGACGGGTCGCAATGCGCATGAAGGATCGGAAACGCCTTCCGATGGTTGCTTCTCTGTCGCAAGTGGTAGTGGTGAGATATCGACGCGTGGAGTCTCTGTGTAGATAGGTGAGTCGCGTCTGAAGCTTCCCAGGACGTCACCGAGCCTAGCCGTGTTGCGGAGTGAAAGACGGAAGTGAGGTTCGACTCGCGCGGCCTGCCAAGAAGGCCGCGCGCATGCATGGCGGGCGGCCCTGAGCTTCCCCAGCTTCGACTCCAAGACACGCAACTCACGCCAAATACATGTCGCATTACTTTTTGGCAAACCTACTCTTTGTCGCAGACAACCTCTCTTTAGCCTCATAAACCAATCAACCTCTCTGGCACTCTGGCCGCTATCATTGTCCACACCCTCCAGACATCCCACCATGTCCACCGAAGCCGATCCACAAACCGCAAACGAGATAGACCAGCAACAGGCCGGAACCACCAAAGCTTCTGAAGAGCCGAAAACATATCGTGAGGTCGCTGCTGAACACATCGACACCCTCAACGAGATCAACCACCAAATACCCAAATTGCTCAAATATTTCGCAACCGCCCTTAGCCAGCTCACCAACGACCCCATCCCCTTCCAACATGACGCTATGGAGTGTACCCCTGGCACCCTAGAAGCGCGTAAAGAAGCTTTCCGAATCAACGCTCTCTTCGTCGGTGCGTCCTGCGAAGTAATACGAACAGAGTTGGTGAAGCAAATCAACGCTCTGGAGCGGTACAAAGTCATCCCAAAAAGCCATCCCAAGTTCACCGTCACGCAGAGACAAGGGCAGGGGCAGAAAGGCAAGGAAAGTGAGACGGAAGTTGTGGACCCGGAGAAAGAAGTCAAGAACGGAGGCTATGGGGAATTTGACGTTGGCGTGCTGAACGCAAGGGCGAGCTCGGGACAGGTTGGGACCGAAGATGTTTTGGATCGAGCCAAGGCCATACTAGAGGAGCTACAGAAACGAACTGGCGGTGCGGTAGGTGGAGAAGAATACATGGATGTCGATGGGTGAGAGTGCTAGGACGTATTGAGTGAGATGCGTCCAGCCGAGCCAAACAACCGAGCAGCATGCACGCGATGCACTGCAAGCGACGATCCTAGGGTGATGATTCATGCCCTGAACAACAGACCATGTGCGTTCAGGGATCTCAGGGAGTGTTGCCAAAGCGTTCATCCGAACGGGCAGTGAGTACCTGGAAACTAAAGGGCGGTCACAACGACCAACACAGCCGAGCCAGAGGATAGCTCAACCTCAAGGAGTCCAACAGCACCCTCCGACTCCCCATCATACAGTGTGATGGATGACTATGTGCCAAGTGCGCGAGTTTTGTCACTTCCCGGTGAGTGGATGTAACGAAAGAAGTAGTCTACGATACATTTACACATCAATCGAGCATCTTGAATACAACAGCGATAACTTTTTGACTATGATCCTTGAGCCTCTCGTCCCTCGATGATCTAGCGGCCTCCCTCAAGTGCCTTCTTCATAACTCCAATGTCTTCCGGTGTAGTCCTGCAACAACCTCCAATCAAACCAGCCCCAGCCTCAGACCACTCCCTCGTTTTCTCCGCCAACGTAGACCCTTCTGTTCTCTTGCCTCCCCACTTCCTTGCCTGAGCATTCCACTGCTCACCAGAATTGGGATACACAAGCAATGTCCCTCTCTTCACCAACGGCTTCAAGTTCTTCATAGCAGCCAACGCCAAGTCATCCGGTACGCAATTGAAGCCCAGCGCAACCACCTGTTCCACGTCATCAAAGAGCGCTGCGATCTCCGACAAAGATGTTCCATCGCTGATGTGCGAGCTGTCTCGTAGTGTAAAGCCAAACCAAGCTTCTGTCTTTGGAAACTCTGTGGTAAGGAGGTTCAGGAGAGCTTCGGTTTCGCCTTTGGATGGTATGGTCTCGCAGGCTAAGATGTCGACGCCCGCAGATACAAGGGCCTGGATTCGTCCGCGGTGGAAGTCCTTCATCTCTTCTTGGGGGATAGAATAATCGCCCCGGTATTCTGAGCCATCTGCAAGGAAAGCGCCGTATGGGCCTACGCTGCCCGCTATGAATAATCTACCGCGAACACCTTCACTTGTTTCGGTAACGTATTCATCTCTTGCTTGCTGAGCTAATTCCACGCTCTTTGCCACAACTTGCTTGGCTTCCTCTTCACTCAGGCTTAAGTGCTTGACTAGTCCTGCAACGGACGCTTGATAAGATGCTGTGATCGCGACATTGGCGCCCGCACGGTAGTAATCGAGATGCGTTTGTTTGATTAGGGACGGCTGATCCAAGAGAATCGATGCGGACCATAATGCGCCGCTTATATCTGCTCCCAACGTCTCCAGATAAGTTGCTAGTGCACCGTCCAGGATTATGGGATAACCTTTAGCGATGTGGGTGGACAATAAATTTAGTGGTGATGCCATGGTGGATATCCCGAAAAGAATGCGCGAAGAGTTTGGATAAGAGTAGATTATTCAAATTCCGACCAAGATTGAAATCTGATCGAGTGTGTTGGAGCTGTGTGTTGGAATTTAGTCATTGTCCGATGTGCGGAGTTTTGAGCGCCGATGCTCAATGGGCATTTGAACGTCCAAAGAAAGTTTTACTTAGGAAGCCGTTGACCCTGCTTTAGCAGCACCTCCTATTTGCCTGACCTGCCCAGTTGCCATCGCACAAGACAGTGTAATATATGATGGCCTTCCATTGCCCGATCCGATCGTGGGTGGTGCGAATGCGTGTGATCTTATAGAAGCGGCGAATGAGCAGGAAGCGCTAACAGTAACTGTGGGTCCCTAATCGACGCGTCGCGAGCATCACTCTTCCACCTTGTTCCTGCATACACGACATGACTACTGCAGACAATTACCATACATGTCGGAATGCCTGCCCAGTATCGAACAGATCTAGTATATTGTTGTCAACCTAGCTCAACCTATCTTGAGCCTATATCGGTCGCCGCTTCCCTTCATTCGCCAGTCGGACCAGGTTCACTTCATCGGACAGTCAGTCAGAGGCATGGAGAACTTCGACCCTTCCTCTGGCCTTGTCTACAGGGAGACTACGTCAGCTTCCGTCAGTTCAATGATACCAAAGTGGACAAGCCATTCCCGGGGTAGACGAATAGACCCATCGAAGCATCGGCGCCTAACTCCAGGATGCGATACCCTGCAATCAATGGCCCTCCGTTGTTGTATCTGGAACATTGACAATATGGAACCAGAGGCTCTACAATGGCTCAGGTGGTCCTACGCTAGTCGCTTGCACGACTATTTAAAGTTAACGTGGGTCGAAGGTCGCACAGAGGCCCAAAGTGCGATGGCTAATCTAAGTGTCCAGTGACACAATGACCTTTCGGACTTGGAGTCTCTTTCGAAAAGCATTTCCCGAAGATGTTGATCGCCACTCTACCTTCCATGTGTATGACAGGGAATCCGAAGGTCTCTTACCCTCTGTCGTCGATCGCTTGGTCAAGCTCGACGGTGACATGCTGACGTTCCTCTGTATCCGAACCGTTGACATGACAATTGATCAACTCGTTTCTCTTAATACTATCAATACGCTTGCGGTTCTTGCAATAGAGATTGGAAGCAACGATCGACTTGGAAAGTATCGCGAAACACTGACCGTTCAAAGGCTACGCGACTGGGGTCGAAGCGTCGGCGAAAGTGGTGCTTTCAAAAAGTTGCGAGTACTTCTTGTTGACGGTTGCAACTCATTACCAACAAGACTTGTCTTAGCGTGCATCTCTAGCTTTCCCAGCTTGAATATTGTTGGAATCTCTGGCCAACCAGATCCATCTGAAGAGGAACCTTACTGGGGGAATTGGCGCCAACATCCTCATCTGGAGTAAGTGACCTAGATCCAGACGTTGGCTCATTGAGGTAACATAGTTTTTTAGCCGTTGGGACAAGACAAACTCAGACAGCGGGGAGAGAAGGTCTAGAACCACAATGGCTTCTGACATGCGAAGATTGTATGATGCCTCGCTCGAGTTGTCGCAAGACGGATCTCCTGGTGGTGGAACATACCGATCATTATCTATGCACTACATCCAACGTAGTATGCCTGACACGGCTACAGAGATTGCATGGTTTGTCCGTGAGCTGAAAGATGAACCTGCTCGGCCCGTGAAGCGTGTCCAACAAGACAAGTCTCGATCCGACACTAAGAAAAGGAAATTACGTGAGGATAAGAAAGTTAGCATAGGTTCGCTACTGGGAAGCTTTACCTGAGCACTGCATTGGCTGGGCAAACATAGCAGAACCTATTCATACTCACTCAGTTCTTCGAGCGTACCCAGAAGGAATGCTAGACCATCTGGAAGCAAGAGTCACATGGTAATAGATCGGCATTCTCCAGCTGCGGCACAATGTCGAGTTTTTTTGAACACGAATGAACCCAAGAAGACCCGCTGGTCGTATTCTTTGCTTATTTGGTATTTTTTGTACACCAATACTACGAAGGGGGTCACACCGGAGTCACCAGCGTTCATGGGAGCAGAGGAAGTAGAGGGTCTGTGTGAGACCAATAAGGGTTTCCGTGCCTCTGTAGAAGGTTCTGGAAAGGTAAACAAGTCGCACCTGGCATACTCATGAGTCGTGGATGAGCTTCCTTTGCCTTGAGCGATAAAGCCTCAAGCCTGTTGGTGCGCTATGCGCTTTTGTTGAGACGGGTGACAGTGCGCATGTGCATGATAAGACAGTAGCACAGAATTAGGGAAGGCATCGTGGTTACGAAGACAGTCATGCCTCTGACCAACGAGGAAGTCTTGGGGACTGTGATATCGACCATGAGCAGTATCTACGCCCACAAACGAACATGAGGAATGGTAGATGCAGGCATCCCTGGGGGAATGTGGATCAGCGCTAGTGACTGTTCCGGAGTTGGCGCTTGGCAGCGGGGCTGAGACCGCCTGCGGGCTCCCCCATAGATGGTCCCCTCGCCACCCTTCCCTTCGCCGATTAATACCCTCAACCGCTCCACTCAACTACTCCGACCTTTGTCACACACGACTACGCTCCACTTTCCCACCACACCCACAAACGACCGCCCTACTACTCTTAGCACCCACAGAGCGCCCCCAGTCGATTTCATGACCACGGACATCCAGAATCTCAAGTCCTTCGATCCGTTCGCGGAGGCTGATGATGCTGGAGGAGAAGTAAAGTCTACTCAGCAAAACTACATCCACATTCGTATCCAGCGTATGTATACCATCCAATCTTCTGTTATTCGATCTCATCATCTGCGCGACATCGGCGCGACATTCCTTCCCCTCCTCCCTTACGCTTCAAGAAATCGCGCAAGGCTGACGTCAACCCCCAACAGAGCGCAATGGTCGCAAGACTTTAACGACGGTCCAAGGCCTGCCTAAGAAGTTTGACCAGAAGAAGATTCTCAAAGTCATCAAGAAGAAGTTTGCCTGCAATGGCACTGTCGTCGCAGACACTGAGATGGGAGAGGTGATCCAGTTGCAGGGAGACCAGCGCAAAGATGTTCAAGACTTCTTGACCGACAAGAAAGAGGGCCTAGGCCTTGATGGCAAGACCATCAAGGTCCACGGTTTCTAAACTCACAAAGGACGTGGGTGCGATGCACACCGCCGCTCCTCCCGCCGAAGCCGAACGACCGCTCCAAGGTCGAGCCAACGATACGGTCGAGGATGGCCATGCCGGCATGTCGTATATGTGGAACACACATTTGATAATGCTGGGCCGCGGTTTCGCAGAGCAGATATGTCACGTTGGAGGAGGATTACGACTTTCCTATCTCCATCTCCTTGAAAGAAACAGATATATACATTTGAGGTTTCGCACGCTGAAGTGTCAGGTGCTCTAGGACGACGGGATGGCGATTGAGATGCTAGTTTCGAGGAATGCAATGAATCAGGGAGTGCTTTTACATTATTCGTTGTTTCAAGTGGCCAGCTTCGGGGTATTCAACGGTTACCATGTCATGATATGCTCTACTCATCATCTTCGTACATGACTTCTGTGATAGCATCGTTCTTCTTAGGCGCTTTAGCCTCCTGTTTCCGATACAGACTAGCTAATTCCTCTGCCTCAGTAGCCTCATCGATCCCCTTATCCTCTCTGACCCTCAAGAATCTCGGAAACCTCGTACTCAACCCTCTCTCCTCACTGACCAAGCCAATCGCAGCCGTATACGTCGGACTCAAAGTCAAATCGGCGAAAGCTACCTCCCAGACCTCTTGCGGTTCGAACCAAACAACTGGCGTTCCAGCTCCACCATTGTACTCTACATAATGGGGTTTGCCAGAGAGCACGTTTGTGCAATCTGGGTCGTCTGGGTCGTACTTTGCGCGGTTGGCTTTGTAAAAGGTGTCAGTAAAGCCGGACATGCATTTTGTGACTGCTTCCAGTTGTCCAGTTTCTGCGTTGCGGATGGCAAGGAGGATAGGTGACCACCATGCTGCCTTCCGACCAGAACCATGAAAAGCGGCAATGGGAATCAGGTCGAGAGTCTCGGAGGTGGTACTATAGTCCTTCTTCACTTTGAGCCAGCTGTCTAGACGCTTATCCGGTTCGTAAGTCGATAAGAGTGCTTTACGGCGGCCAGATGTCTTTGGTTCGTCTTTTTCGGTTTCGTTAGAATTCGACTTAGCTTTGGACTTTGCGGGCTTCTTTTTCTTGGGTGTTGGTGGAAGCGAGGGCGTCTTCTCAATAGCTTCGTCGATTTCGGCGAGTAGGTCGGGGTTAGGGAGGTTGTCAAGAATCTTCACCATGATGCCTTCGCACTTGATTTCCAAGGCACTTTGGAAGAAGGCTTGGACTGCTTCTACGTCGGCGGACGTAGCATCTAGGCTCTTGACCCACGTAAAATGATGTGGTATCTCCACAAACAGACTTCTGAGTAGAGACCTCCGTTCTCTAAAAGGCCGGTTCAGTAGCTCTTCGCCATTCAGATACATCAGGTCGAATGCAAACAGACAGACGTCGATCGTCACGGCACCGACGACGACGTCTTTTCTTGCGCGATTCGCAAGTGTCTGGAATGTCTTGAGGTCTCCACTCTCCCGATCGACAGCTACAACTTCGCCTTCAAGAATGAAGCTCGAGACGCCCTCTCCTCGTATCTTAGGCACCAGCGCTACTAAATCCGGATACTTGTCAGTCATCACTTCCAGATGTCGTGAGAAGATTGTGACTTTGCCCTTAGCATCACAATGCACCTGCGCTCTTTGTCCATCGTACTTGTACTCGCAGGCGAAGTCGCGTCCTTGTAGTTTTGTGAGCATCTCGCCCATATCGCGAGTGATACTTCCTAACATAGGTCTTAAAGGGATGTGTAGTGACAGCCCACAGCGCACGAGTAGTTCGTCGCAAACACCAATCTCGAGAAGCACAGGTATAAGGTCGTTGTAGTTCGGTCGTCGAGCGAAACATGCCTTTACGATCTCTTCGTTCCTGATGTATGCCTCCGTGAGTTCTTCCTTCTTCAGTTTTGCCATCTGCTTCTGATCACGAATCTCGAACTCAGCCCCTAGAGGTTTCGACAGCATGAAGGCACGGGACAAAGCGATAAGCATCGTGGTCTTGACAGCTCCAATCCGCAGATGCTGTACGAGCGTCCGTACAATGTAGCGGCTTTCTTCAGCACCCCGTGTATCCTGCACCAGTCTTTCGACAATTCTTTGCTTGTTCTCTACACTGCCATGTCCCTTACTGTTTGCGATCTTGACTAGTGAGTCGAAGACACTCCTGATTGTCAGAGGCTTCGGTTTGCGAAGGGTGAAGCTCTGCTTCTTCTTTGCTTCGAATGCGACATCGCCAGCATCGCCATATTTTGCGTTCAATACTTTCAAGCCTGCGTTATCCAGCCCACAAACTTTCTTAAGTGCTTTCGAGATCGCTGAGCCCCCCAAACCAAGCTCCAGATCGATGTAAGGGGGCGATATCGCATTCGTCGCGAGCCAGACGGCTGGAAGCAGGCTATCAGGATCGCTTTCGACAATCGTTCGAATAAGGTTCACAAGCGTGTCGACTATTCTGATGCGACTTGTCGTACTGTTGACCAGAATGAAACATCGTGTCAATAACGCGTAAGTCGCATGCCCTCCGTCGTTCACCCAATGTTTCTTTAGTTCCGGGATGTATTTTGCCGGTTCAAATTCGAGAGGGCTTTGATCGAAGGGTATATTTGCTGTTATCGCGTCTTCTTCGGAGGCGGTCGATTGGAGAGATAGCGTGTTTTTCTTCTGGTTGAGTTCGGCAGCCTTTGTGTTTTCTACAGTGGCTTCACGTATTGCTAATTCGGAATTCCCATTCTGTCCTTTTGTGTCTTGTGTCGTGTCTGCAGGGACTTTGTCGGGCTCCTCATACAGTTCATTCGAGTTCACCGGCTCCGCCGGCTCCTGATTTGACCCCTGCTGTCGGTCTTCCTTATCCCACTGCTCCTGAAGTTTACGCGCGAGTTCTTCATCGGTCAGGCCTGTGTTGTCCTGATCCACGGGCGGTTCGCTGGGACCTGTGTTCGTTGGCGCATCTTTGGGTGTCGCTCTAGCCGTTTGCTTTGCGAAGAAGTAGTCCAAGCTGCGTATCGGCTTCCCTGAGCCATCATTCTTCTTCCGGCGTTTGGAGGGACTGTTCATGATGTGAAGATAGGTTCAAGTAGCATGGCCACCAGGAAAGTGGGTGGTGATATGCCAGGAGAGTGGTGGTACGTCATGACGCGGGCGCTTGGACCCAGTCAAACTCCATCTCACGTGCACACGCGTCGCGCTTCCAAGCTGGGAGGTTCGCTCAAGCATGCTCAAGTCCATCTGATTTGAGTATCTGGCCCAACATATCAGAACCTCGGTATCAACCCCACTGTTCCAGGATCATTGTAACCCAATTGAGAAACCTGCGAGATTTCGAAGTTTGCCATGACATTGACGATCGCTGAGTGGAAGTCTTTACGATGAAGCTTTAGTATAGAGTAAGGACAGAAAGTAATGTCTGATCGGACTCTATCCGAGACTCTCATCCTCCTGGACGTCTAATACATGGATAGTATCCCAGTCCTTCATCTCTTACTAGTCATAGTAATCGAGATCAGTAATCTCCGCCTCAACCATGGGCTTCTCCGGGCGTTCAACAGGCCTCGAGCGTTTGTTGTACCGACCATGATAGCCAGCGCCACGGCGATCTGAAGAGGGCCGACCATCAGCACCGGGTGCGTCACTCCAGCTACGAACAAGGCCCTGCGTGTCGTCGTCAGGACCACGAATACGCTTCTCCTGTGCCTCGTCCCACAACTCGAACTTGCCAGTGTCCTTGTTGGTGAATCCTTGCTGGCCTCGAATCTGCGAACCCACTGCGTACTTGACTACAATTCCGAGTCAGCAACCAACCAGAGGTATCGAGAATGACACAGAACGTACGAAATAGCTTGGCTGTGTCTTTTTGAAGACCATCCACCAGAGTGCGAACCGCCACGACAGGACACCCGCTCAACTCGGTGCGCAACAGCTTTGTCTGGCCGTCTTGATTGCATGTTAGAATAGCAGCGAATCTTTTGGTGCCTTCATCCTCGCAGATGACGATATCTAGCCTCGTGTCAATTCCGGTGTTCAGCATTGGTGCGAGGGCTTTACCGTAGAACTTGAATCGCTCGCTGCCGTAAAGAAGACGACAGTTGCCGAGGGAAATCTCTTTCAGCGTCTGAATCTCATGAAGCTGACGCTGTTAGCCAAATAGAACACTTTAGAGAATGAATCAAATACCTTGTGGGTGCTCTCTAACCATGGCTGTGCATTAATCTCCATTGCGGACGTCTGGCGTACTAGCTCACCAGTATCGGCGGCGCTGGTGGAGCTTACAGTAACAGGCATCGTGCTTAATCCGGTGATCTTAAGCCAACAGATGTCGATAATCTGCGTCAGGTGTCTACAGATGACCAAATTCGGTTATTATACTCAAGCTTTGGGGAAGCGAGACAGACGTGGAGAGAGAGGGATTGGTTGCTGGTTTATATGACCAGGTAGTGCTAATGCTTCGGGTCAAAGGAGTAACTACGGACAAGTAAAGGCGACACCCACCACGGCATCTTGGGGTAAGAGAGCGGTGAGAGAGCGGCAAGAGGTCCACTAGCAATACAGCTGACCATGGCGAATCTTGGTTCCTATCCTTGGTTATGTAGGGTAAATGCTTATCGTGGACTAGGGTAATGCGGTATACTTGCGGCATCTAAGGGATACAGTTTTGAAGCGCTCCTATAAACTGCTTGCCAGGAAGGAAGCGTGATTTAGCTACAGCTGGGACTAAACGGGGAACTATACGTCGTCTCTTCGCATTGTATCGTCTTTGATAGTGGGAGCTATGTTGCTGGTCGAGACTAGTAGAACAAGGAAATTGTGTATCTCCAGAAAGATTACGATTGCGTGACATGTCTTGTAATTTACATGGTCGATATATATTCTATGCTATACTTTGAGGAAATGTAATTCTGCCAAAGCACGCAAGAACAGTTGAAACATGGTGTAATAGGCCGTCTCTGGGTTGTAACACATAATACCTAGTTATCAATCGTTTATTGAAGCAGTTGCTGGTACCACTCTAGAAGGTAACATGACTCCGTGCGTATATCCCGTGCCTCGGTCTTCCCACCGCAGGGAATTGGTATAAATAGTATCATACAAAGTACGAAGAAAGAGGAACGAAGTGTAGATGAATGCATCAATGGCACATCCAAATCAGGTGTGGTGTACACGACATCAGGAAACCCTGAACAAACCACAAAACAAAAAGGCATGTTAGAAATGCAAATTATACCGCAGTCCCGCTAACCCAATGCAAGAGATGTGAAAACGTGAAAAAGAAACATGGTACATACATGAATATAGAAGATATTCATGGTTGAATGTAGTGAGAGACATCGCAGTAGCCAGGTTCGTCTCAACCACTAATCGATAGTGATGACGTCGTTTTTAGACTGCCCTGGACGACCTCCTGGACCGCCTCGGCCTTGCTGTTGTTGCTGTTGCAAGGTTTGCTGACGCCCACTGGGCATTTGCTGTTGAGCCGGTCTGCCGTTCGGTTGTTGGCCTCTCGGATGTTGCTGCTGGTTCAGGTGCTGTTTCCCTGATTGGCCCTGCCTCTGTTGTTGTTGCTGCTGCTGCTGCTGCTGCTGCTGCTGTTGTTGCTGTTGTTGGCGTGCCTGTTGCATCCTGGCTTGTTGCTGTTGTTGGTTCCCCTGTTGGCCCCCATTCGCCTGATTTAGACCTTGCTGTGCAGGTTTTTCAAGTGGTGGAGGCGCAACGTAGCCATCAGCCATTCTACAGCCCAAGACACATTTATCAAGCTCCTCGATGGCTCTAGGAATCGCATCCAATTCCGCCACCATACCATTGCGGGTACCAAACCACCCATTGCCCTTCCTACTGAACAGCTCCTTCAGCTTAGCCTGTAGGTTGTCAAGGCGTCTATGACCTGGTGCACGCTCGGGAGTTGGCAATACGTTGGGATCCTTTGGGCGCAAGTTGTCTTCGACGAACCAATACACGTTGTCGTCTTTGGGTTGGAGACGCACATCGAACGTGCAGACGGGATTGTCATACGTAAGACGATATTTGAAGATGGTGTGGACATGGATTGCGGGGTTGCTGTAGTTGCCTGGCGATCGTTGCTCGACTTCGCGCAGGACCTTGAAGAGAGGTCGCGTGGCAACGAGTATCGTACAGAAACGGTCTAGACCATTGGCATCACCGGGATCAATGACTGGTAAGGAGGGCGACCGATCATTAGCAATCTCGGTGAGTTGAGAGAGTATTCGATGGTGCGGGTTGCTGGGTGATAGTTCGATAGTGAGCTCCTTTTCGGAACCAAAATTAACGGTGGCAGAATATGGCGATGGACCGTATTGAAACTGTACGCGTTGTAAGGAGGAGGATTTGAGCAACATCTTGCGTTTCTGCAGAGTAGTTGCAAAGGTACGAAGACGATTGACATCTCGCAGTCGTGCTCGCAACTCTCCAAGTATATCCTGCCCAAAGGGCGTGGCAAGGAGGATCCTAAAGTTACCATCCTCCGAGAATTTGAAAGCATGTTGTGGTGAAGCTGCCATGAGCTTGTGCATATCTGCAGCAACAGTCTTAATCATCCTGCCGGCAGCCATGTGCCAGACGTTCTGAGCTCCAACTTTCATGCCTTCGCAAGTGATCCTGATGTCTGATTCGAGCCATGCGTCTTGACCTGCTTGAGCCGCGAGAAGATCTGCAGTTTGCACATGCAGGACCCACCGACGGGCGATGCGATAAGCTTCCAAAGAGGGCCCTAGCTCACACTTCAAGCTATAGTTCTTTTTCTGCTTCTCAAGTTGCCGAGCTGTGACACGGAATGACAGCAGCTGCACGGCGATTCTTTCGAGACTTGCCAAGGTGTTGCGGTTGATGGGCAAGGAGCTACCGTCAGGTCTATCCATTCTGATCTGCTCAGCATATTCTATGCTGCCTCCGCCAGATCCGATTTCGAAGATCCACCACGACTCACCAGACGAGTCGATCACCGCTGCCAGTGCCCAGCTTGGCGTCCAACCGCGAGGGCAATACAGGGTGGATGAAATAACATCCAACCTGACAGCAGCCGACACTACCTGTTGATGTAAAGCTTGCCTCGCTACTGATTGCCAGCCGAGTTGTTGTGCGTTCTTCTGGATCAGGCTGAGTAGTGTACCGGCGAGCACCTGCGTCATTACATTGGCAATTTGTCCAGGCTCCCTGCCTTGGTTAAAAGCGCTCTCCGCCCGCGCAGATAGTGCGCTCGCTGGTCGTAAAATATAGCTGCCGGTGACTTGCTCTAGTGACAGTGTGACAGAAGTAGATGTAGCACCCAGTGTTGCGTCAAGTGTGCAATCCCCAGGTTCGGTCTCGGAAAGTCGTGCATTCGCTATCACCCCAGATTTGAAACTGTTCTTCGTAGAACGCAGAATCTCGCTCGCATGGCATGCGATGACTTGCTTGAGAACGCATTCCATGGACAGATCCTTCCAATCGAACTGGAACTTGGGGTCTTTCACTTCCTTGCCTTGACGAAACCAGCGTGTTGTCAGTGACGGGATGGGTGGTCCTCTCCACGAGACCTTGCCGTTCTTTGGCTTGTTATTGGATACGCCGATCTCGATCCAGTTTTTCTTCCCAGGCTTGTTGGTCCAGTATGACACTACGAGCAAGCGATGCACAGGCTCAACCTTGAGAGAGCCTGCCCAGCCGGTGCGGACGAGGCCTACTGCCTGTGATCGAAGTACAGAAATCTTGTGTGTCAAGATGAAATTATTCAAGAAGTCGAAAAGACCAGTCAGACCCTTGTCTTTTAAGACTAGGTCGGCCTGCAGCTTAAGCTGCATGAAGAAGCGGCTACCGACGGTGATCGTGGGCGCTGGGTTGAACAGTAGCCGGACATCAATGAGGAACCACTGTTCTGAGGCATCCTCCACAAAGGACATGACGTCGAACTCCAGCTCGTTGTCGATGACAAAGGTCGCGCGTCCAGAATGCACGCGCCAGTTTTGAAGATGCCGTGGAAGGCTTTCGTGCACATTCAGACGTATCGAGAGGGAAGTGTTCAAGTAGCGTAGCAATTTGAGAGCTTGCTCGGCAGAGATGGGCTCAGGCGGTATGTAGTCAAGGCTCGGCATCCACGACGCTTTGCCGGTTGACAATACCTCCAAAGCTGTCGCGATATCCGGATTATTCTCCCTTGCGTTGTTAGAGAGAACCTTGATTCTCTCCAATTTGTAGTCAGCGGCATCCATGTGGGCTGCCTGCGTACTCGCGTGGGCCAGTAAGTCAATAAGCTTGGAAATGTCAGACGAAGCTTTCTTTCCCCACTCTGTAAGGACCAGCAGCTTGATGAACTTTGCCCGCTGCTCTTGGGCAAATGAAAGGAGAACCAGCTTCTTACGCCTGTTTGCGTCTGCGTTCCCTTGCATGTTTGCCGCACCAAGTCCATTGGGAAGAACGCCATTGGTTACTGGAGCCAGTTGGATAGCGGCCATGTTCTTCAATACTTCCTCGAGCTCATTGTAAGATTCCTGCGATATCCGCAACAACAATGTTGAGAGGGAGTTGTACTGCTCAGGGCCAATGTGGGCGATTTCCGGTGGCAGATCCGAGTAGTGTCCGAGCGTGGAGCCTGCCGTCGTTGCTAATGCCATGGACGCGCCGTTAGTGTTGGTGTCTTTCGAGGAACCTCCATTGGTGGCAGGTCCTCCTGCCGGCGTGTCGCTTCGCGTCCCATTGAGTCCTCCGTTGATCATGTCAGCGTCGTGGTTGCGCTTCCTGCCATCTGCATCGCGTGAAGCCGTCGCTAAGTCTGATCCGGTGTGGTTCATGGTGAGAATGCCTGGCATACTACGTCGTCCTCCGTCCCGGGACCCTGGGGCGCCGTCTGCGCACCCACTCTACGCGCTTCTAGCCTTCACCTAATATGCCTGGCCAATCCAGATTTCCGTGATATTTTCGCGAATGTGTCGAGCGTGGGATGTGCAGGAGGACGATCGAGTCGGAGTGCCTGGGGCCGGGTTCAGAGGGCTGGCGGTGGAACGGATGGTGAAATGCGCTGTTGAGGAGTGGCGCGCGACCATGAAGTGGATGTTGTTGGCGTAACAATGGATGCGCACAGGTAGCACAGGGCGCAGCGGGTGGTGAAAGGGCGCTGGTCGGACGCAGCAGGTAAAAGAAAGCGAGGTTGGGGCGCTGTCGACTAGCGCATCGTGTACTGTGAATGTTGCGAAATGTCGTGGGGTGTGGGCGCGCTCGTATAGAAGCCGGCGTCAGTCTGGAGTGATCGTGGATGGGTGCGCGACGCCGGGTAGCTGAGTCGATGATGTTGTTTCAGCGATCAGGAATGAGGTCGTCGAAACGGGAAGGATTGGATTGGGTTTGGCGCCTTGGCGGCCACTCCACCCATGCAGCCTGGCGTACTAGTGGATAGCCCTGCGTCTCTTTCATCACGCACACTGAGGATGGCATCCGAAATCGAGGAAGGCCTTGTAGGTGCAGTTCGCTCTAAGAATGTGTATTAAGCAACGCCGAGTCGCTTCTAGAGCGGATACAACACAGCTAGTCGGTTTGATCATTAGTACACAAAATCATTCACCGCATACCTGTCCACGGCTCGGCGAGCTTGCGGCTGCGGCGGCCAGTAGTCTATCCAAAGGCGAGCTTGAGCGCAAGCGCCTTGTCCAATGCCTTCTCGGATAGCCTCTACTGCAACTAGACGCATTATCAGCATGTTCAGCCATTCCGCCAATACTTCAACCCTAACCTCATGACCCCAGCACGACCATGGGATCGCCCGCTGCCCCAACAACTCCACATCTCTCCCCAGCTTGGTTCTGACCTCACCGTGCCCACTAGAACTTGCCTTCCAACCTGAATCCCGGCCCGTGTCAGCTGTTGCGCTTTTATCCTTTGATCCTTCATCATGTCTCAGTTGCGGTGACGCACTTCCGCCAATTAGTGTAGACCCTGCTTGCGGAAGGCTGCGTTTATTCGATGGCACCGCGCGCGCCCGAGCTCCCGCCCTACCAGCGACCGACCTTCACGCGAAATGCATCCTCACAGTCAAAAGTCTCAGTGCCGTCCATATCGCAGTCCAACGAGGCAGACGATGAGCAGAGTCTCTCTTCGGATCAGAGCCTCGACATGGAGTCCAACGACTCGCAGCCCCACTACGAGGGCGAAGATACCCGGTTGACGAGCGACAAGGAGCTTCGCGGCTTTTACATGTACGGATGGGCTGCCGAGGTACTTATTCCTATGCTATCTACCACCATTCCAACCTGCTTCACACTTCTTCAAGCTTTCACCATGTGCCAGCCTTGTGCGCTTCTTCGCTGCCGTGTTGCTGCCTTTTACGCGCCGTGTCGAGCGCAAAAGCTACGCGAACACCACCACTAACAGTTCCAGGTCTTCGTTGTCTGTGGTATTGGATCCTTCATACCCGTAACACTCGAACAACTCGCACGCGAAAATGGTGTCCTCCTGTCTGACCCTTCCATGCCATGCAAAGCCACGAAACCTACCGGTCACCCTAGCTTCTCCTTCTCCACCAACGCCCTAGAAGCCCTGCTGAAACCAAATCCTGAAAAGGGACAATGTGTCGTCCATATCCTCGGCGTCGAGATCAACACTGCGAGCTTCGCCATGTACACTTTCAGCATATCAGTCCTGATACAGGCTCTGCTGATCATAAGCATGAGTGGTGCTGCAGACCACGGGAGGTTCAGGAAAACGTTCCTCTTATGGTTCGCATTCGTGGGAAGTATAGCGACCATGTTGTTCTTGCCCGTGGTACCCAAGGTATACCTTCTAGGCGCACTACTGGCAATCATCTCAAACACATGCTTTGGTGCTAGTTTCGTACTGCTAAACAGCTTCTTACCACTGATGGTGCGTTTCCATCCGACAGTCAAGTATGCCGACTCAATCACCGACACTTCGTATGCGGACGAAGAAGATGAGCCGGAGACAGAGGAGGACGATGAAAGAGGTGGAGAAACTCCTACACAAGAGAACATCATACGAGGAGCGCAATATGCGAACCAGCTTGGAGAGAGAGAAGGCCTTCTTGACGAGGTTGCCGATGCGACAACCGCACTTATTCCAAGCAACCCTTCAGCCGCGGACTTGACCATCCCAAGGGCGAAGAGCAGGGCCGCTCCTTCAGTTGAGCTTGCACTCGCTACCAAAATCTCGTCCTACGGTATTGCAATTGGCTACATCGCCGCTTTGCTGGTGCAGACCCTCGGCATCCTCATTGTCATCGCATTCCAATCCTCCAACTTTGGTCTCCGGCTCGTTCTCTTTGTCATTGGCGCGTGGTGGTTCGTCTTCACGCTACCCACTGCCCGCTGGCTGCGCCCTCGTCCAGGACCGCCTCTGCATATCGGCGCACAAACTTCCAATTTTGGCTCTGCACTAGCGTACTTCACATACTCGTGGAAATCCCTAGGTCGTACAGCAACGCATGCGCGACACCTCAAAGATGTTTTACTCTTCCTTGCAGCGTGGTTTCTCTTGTCAGACAGTATAGCTACTGTATCTGGTACGGCCGTGCTCTTTGCGAAGACAACACTCGGAATGTCGTACGCTATGCTCGCCCTGATAAACGTCATCGCGACAGTCTTTGGCGTCTTGGGCGCCTTCTTATGGTCACGCCTATCTGCTTTCTTCCGCCTGTCACCAACGCAGACAATACTGCTCTGCATCACGCTCTTCGAAGTGATACCCATCTACGGTCTACTCGGGTATATTCCAGCAGTCCAACGCCTGGGATACCTAGGCTTACAGCAGCAATGGGAGATGTACCCTCTAGGTGCAGTCTACGGCTTCGTTCTTGGTGGACTAAGCAGTTACTGCCGCGCGCTATTTGGCGAGCTCATTCCCCCGGGCTATGAAGCCGCCTTTTACGCCCTGTACGCCATCACAGACAAAGGCAGTAGTGTCTTCGGTCCAGCGATTGTAGGCGCCATCACCGATGCTTATGGAGAGATCAGACCGGTAAGCACGCCCCAAACGACCTTAGCTCATAGACACGACTTACTAACACATATTACAGGCTTTCTGGTTCCTAGCTATTCTGGTTGGCCTTCCCTTCCCAATCATGATGCTTGTCAACGTAGATCGGGGGCGCACTGAAGGCGCTGCCCTCGCCAAGACCCTCGAAGAACTATCACGCGCACAGGATGCTCGTCGAATAGACGAAGATGATGACAACTTGTCGCAGGAAATCAGAGATGACCTCCGCAGCTCGTTTTCTTATCAGCGCTCTTGAATCATCAAGCCTCCGGCTCCATGATACTTTGCACGTTCCTTATCGTTGCATTCGTTCTCTTATGCTTCCGTAATAGTTCTTTTTTGGCTCATCAGCTGGCCTGATCGGCTATAGCGCGCATTTCAAACATCAGTGTCGGGATTGCATTGTAGAGGCGTTCACTTGCCATTTGTAATCCACATTTCACCTCTTCTCAACTCTCGGTAGCATTAGTATTATCTGTCAGTGCGGCGTTGGGAGGTCAAATGAGCGACGCATACAACACGAGGCAAATAGTTACGTATCGCAGAGATGCCAATCTGGTTGTCTTTAACTACGATCTCTATATGGCTTGAGACCTTATTGAGTTCACTACGTTACCCACACATTTCTCCATCTGCCTCCGTACAATAAGTCTGGCACATCATACTTTTGGCATCTTCTACCTCTTTCGTGATATGATACGCTTACCCATCTAGATCGAACATTTCCCGGTGCTCCTCTCTCGTTTGTTGATCAGGCAGCTTTCCCTCGATCAACTTCCACATCTCCATCGCAATCTTCTTTCTTATCTTCGCCACACGAACACTCCTCTTCCACTCCTTCTCGGTCGCTTCTCGCTCTGCTACTGTGATCTTGCAGAATCAGCATATGTATATATAAACATCTCGTAGGAAAGTGAACTTACTTTCTTCGCCTTCCCCTTCTTCAGCCCATCGAGTCTGGTCACGATTTCCGCCCTCTCCGTCTCAAGGGCATGAATGCTAGCGATGAGATCCGTAGTGCTGAGCGTGGAGTTAAGGCTGGAGAGCGAGCTACGGAGGTTCTTTGCACTGGTGAGAAGAGAGATGGTTCGTGTGCGCACGTTGAGAACGCTTTCATCGAGGGCGGCGAGTTGCTCAGTCGTGCATGCTTCAGCGGCGTTCTAGGGGTGTAAATCAGACTTGGACTGGAGGATCCAGGAGCGAAACCTACCTGCAGAGCGTGATAGACGATCTGTTTGCCTAAGGATGTCAACCTGATTGAGCCGGGAGTTAGATTGGTCAGACTCACCAGCAACTCGTCCCTCTATTGCTTTTTGCTCATGAAGGTCTTTCAGAATCTTTGCGGCAGAAGCTGTATCGTGATCAGTGCTTGCATTATGAGTTAGCGTGTTGCCTACAAACGCACCTTTGGTGACCTTATTGTGCAAGTTTGCCGAGACATCGATAGCTGAGTATGGGCGGTTTTGCTTGCCTATGGCTGGTTAGTCGTTGAAGCTGAGCTATAATTCAATCGTAAAGCTTTTCGGATGGAAGGGCAAGGTGAGTGGCCTACGCAGGTACTCCAACACCAGGTCCGATGCTTCGTTGGCTGTTGCTTTCTCTTCTGTCTTCTTGCGTGGCGCCATTATATGCTATCGATGTGCAAGTACGATAGAAGTAACGGTATCGCGAGAAAATGCCGTGTGAGACGTTCAGCTTCTGACAAGATGGCGCTAGGCTATGAGCATGCTTCCGATGGAAGGAGCCACCCTCAACCCAGGAAGGTAGGGTAAACAAGTTACGTGGGAGCGAAATTGAGCAACCCAGATATACCGGTATTCTGAATACA